ATGAGCGCCGGCTCGGCTTTTCGTTCTTGCAGGAATCTGACAAACGTCTCAGTGCATGGATGACCCAAATTGTTATGGAGCCTAACTAACTCCCTCTTCTCGGACTCCCCTAAAGCGAAGTACCCCGGCCCGTGCCTAGGAACCGACCGTGGAGGGTAGCCCTGAATGAGCGGTCCATCCTCAGCATCCGAGCGCGTTGTCGGCACATCTGTTGTTGTTGAGGTATTTTCAGGGTTTTGGGGTGCTTCGGGATTTTGGTCTACTCTTAAGGGCATCTGCTGATTCCGGGCTTCTTCTGCTCGAAGACCCCTGAAACTCCGCAACCTTTCAGGTGACATGCCGTAAGCTGTGAGACTGAGTTTTGCAGGAATGCCTTTACGCATCTGTTTATTCCCCAAACAGGAACCGTTTGGGGTCCTCTCCTCAGAAAGAAAAAGCGTCACGCGCTTGGCCAGATGGGTGTCACGCGCTTCGGGCCTGTGGTCTCCGATCATGAACACAATTGGGGCCATTGGGGCCGGGTGGGTGTCACGCGCTCGGGCCTGCAGTCTCCCATGGTCTCCTATCATGAGCGCAATTGGGGCCAATTGGGGCTGGGTGTCCGATCATGAGCAATTGGGGCCATTGGGGCCGGGTGGGTGTCTCCCATGGTCTCCGATCATGAGCTGGGTGGGTGTCACGCGCTCGGGCCTGTGGTCGCGGGCGGGTGTCACGCGCTTCGGGCCTGTGGTCTCCATGGTCTCCGATCATGAGCACAATTGGGGCTATTGGGGCCGGGCGGGTGTCACGCGCTCGGGCCTGCAGTCTGCCATGGTCTCCGATCATGAGCACAATGGGGGCCAAGTGGGGCCGGGTGCGTGTCATGGGCGGGTGTCACGCGTTTGGGACCTGCGGTCTCCCACGCTCTCCGATCATGAGCACAATTGGGGTCTCCCATGGTCTCCGATCATGAGCCGGGTGGGTGTCACGCGCTCGGGTTCGGGCCTGTGGTCTCCCATGGTCTCCGATCATGAGCACAATTGGGGCTATTGGGGCTGGGTGGGTGTCACGTGCTCGGGCCTGCGGTCTCCCATGGTCTCCGATCATGAGCGCAATTGGGTCCAATTGGGGCCGGCTGGGTGTCACGCGCTTCGGGGCCTGTGGTCTCCCACGGTCTCGGCTGGGCGGGTGTCGCGCGGTTCGGGTCCGTGATTTCCCATGGACTCCGATCATGAGCAACAAGCTTGGGAGGGTGTCGCGTGCTGTGTCGCGCGATCCGGCTGCGTGGTGTCCCATGATCTCTGATCATGAGCGACAGGGGTTGAGAGGGTGTCACGCGCTTGGATTCGTGGTCTCGCATGGTGAGCACAATGGGGCGGGACGAGTGTCACGCGGTTCGGGTCCGTGGTGAGTGGCAGGGGTTGGAGGGTGTCACACGCTTGATGGTTTCCCATGGATCATCTGGGAGGGTGTCACGCGCCTGGGTCCGGTCTCTGAGCACGCTGGGCGGGTGTCACGCGGTCCGGTTTCGTGGTCTCCCGTGATCTCCGATCATGAGCGACAGGGGTTGAGAGGGTGTCACGCGCATGGGTTCGTGGTCTCCCAACGTCTCCGATTATGAGCGCAATGGGGCCGGGCAGGTGTCGCGCGATTCGGGTCCGTGGTGAGCTATGAGCGCAATGGGGCTGGCGGGTCTCCGATCATGAGCGACAGGGGTTGAGAGGGTGTCGTGCGCTTGGATTCGTGGTCTCGCATGGTATCCGACCATGAGCGCGCTGGGCGGGTGTACGGTTCGGGTCCGTGGTGAGCGACAGGGACTCGGGGCTTGGGTCCGTGGTCTCCGATGTCTCTGAGCACGCTGGGCGGGTGTCACGTGGTCCGGGTCCGTGGTCTCCCGTGATCTCCGATCATGAGCGACAGGGGTTGAGAGGGTGTCACGCGCATGGGTTCGTGGTCTCCCAACATCTCCGATCATGAGCGCAATGGGGCCGGGCGGGTGTCACGCGGTTCGGGTCCGTGGTGAGCGACAGGGATTGGGGGGGTGTCACGCGCTTGGGTCCGTGGTCTCGGATGGTCTCTGATCATGAGCGACAGGGGTTGAGAGGGGCGGAGGCAGGGTGGACCCAGAATCAGAAAGAACATGCTCAGATGCATTTTTCAAAGCGGGCAAAATGCATTCGCGCAGCTTGCTCCTTCCACAACCCACAATCGAATTGAGTTAAAAGCTGATCTTTTGTCGCTGTCCAAATGCATTTCTCGCCCGTGCTTTAATGCATTCAGCTGTTTTCGCCTTCTAAAAAGTGCACAAAGAGAGCACAGCGTTGCAAATGTGGCAAGCAAGACCAAATGCGTTTTTTAGGCCTCGCAAAATGCATTCGGGCAGCGCTTGGACATCCATGTCTATTGGTATTTTACGACCAACATTTCCCCGACATGCATCTGAGGGCATTCCACATGCATTTTTCGTCGCCCGAAAAACGCATTTGGCACTGGTTTCCTATCATGTTGCAATCTTGGGTTCTGCCGGCTCAGGACTTCTAAATTTCATGTCTTTCTGCGCGTAAGAACATCTAGAATCTATATGGGTGGTTGTCAAAATTATAGTCCCTTTTTGGATCCCTATTATAATACGGCACCTAATATTTAGGGTGCCCGAAAAGGGACCATAATTTTGACAACCACCCATATATAGGATTTGAACGCGTTTAGAACCATAATCACCGTTTCGCAAAATTCCCGAAAAGGGGCCTAAAATTAGAAGCAACGTGCCCAGATGTATTTTGCAAAGCAGGCAAAATGCATTCGCGCAGCTTGCTCCTTCCAAAACCACAACAAAAAACTCACTTGATAGCTGACTTTTGTGTCAAAGACAGAGGCCCCGTACGGAAGAAACCAAAGTCCGAATGCATTTTTCGCCTGTGCCCAAATGCATTCAGCTGTGTTCGCTTTGACAAAGTGCAGAAAGAGCACGCGGCGTTGCACATGTGGAAAGCAAGACCAAATGCGTTTTTCAGGCCTGGCAAAATGCATTCGGCAGCGTCTGGTCATCCATGTCTATTCGGTTATCCTTGCTCCATTTCAGCATTAAAAACAAACGAAACAAAACAAAGGAAGTCTAAGAATAGATTGGTGTTTTACGACCAACATCTACCCGACATGCATTTCTAGGGCATTCCAAATGCATTTTTCGTTGCCCGAAGAATGCATTTGGCACTGGTTTCCTATCATGTTTAGTTTTGGTTTCTGCTGGCTCATGACGTATTCGATTCTTCTGATGTGTTTTCTGTGCATAAAAGTAGCTATAGTAATTGAAAAACTTGTTTAGAACAATGTTCGACATTTAGCAGGAGTACCAAAACAGACCCAGAATCAGGAAGAACATGCTCAGGTGCATTTTTCAAAGTGGGCGAAATGCATTCGCGCAGCTTGCTCCTTCCACAACCACAATACAATTGAATTAAGAGCTGATCTTTTGTCGTAAAGACAAGCTGCGTACAGAAGAGGCGAATGCGCAACTGCGTTTTTCGCGCGTGCCTAAATGCACTCAGCTGTTTTCGCCCTTGAAAAAGTACAGAAAGAGAGAGCATGGCGTTGCAAATGTAGAAAGCAAGACCAAATGCATTTTTCAGGCCTGGCAAAATGCATGTGGGCAGCGCTGGGACATCCATGTCGATCCTTCGTTTGGATTGGGAAAGGGTTGTTCCGACCCCTGGCAGCTCCAAAAAGAAGCTTGAAACCCACGCCTCCATACTGAGCCCAATTTTTCTAATTGTAAACTCGGCCTGCCGAGTTCTACGCGTCGCGTTATTGTTTCATGCCGCTTTCCCTTGATCTACAATCTTACTGTTTGGGGTCGTCGCCGGCGTAATATCGTGGAACCTGGGACCAATCCTCTATCTCACCATCCATAGCTATTTCACCACCAACCCTTTTTACCACAACCGTCTGACGTAAATGCATGTCCCGCGGCATTCCCTCCACACAAGGTGGCTGTATCCGGTTGGTGCCTCGACAGCAGACGACATGTTGCACAACAATCTGTGGAAGCAGTGCTTGAACTTGTTGGACTACCGGGTCCCCTTCTGAAAACCCTACCTTTCCCCCTTTCGGAATTCTCGCGTTAACATCTCGAAAAACTGTATCCCAACTTATCCTAGGAGCCTCGCTTCCAGAGATTGTCGGCCCTGGCTGTTTTCCAAAAAGTCTTCGGCGCTTCAAAACTTGCTGGGCGGCAGTAATGTCAGAGTTAGAGACTCCCCGCTTTTCAACATTAAACAACAGCTCTTCTAAAAGCCGAGGAAACCCTAAGTCCTGACCTAGGTGCAAGGCTACCCGTTTGGCAAGACGCCTCTCTCGTGGGAACATGCGGTTGCTTCGCCCACTGGGATCTGGACCCGCTGTCTGAAAGCGAGTGTCGACACTTTGCTGCAGTCATCTGGACGTGGTGTACAGTGTGGTGGCTTTGCGGAGATGGTTGTTTCCTGGCGGGGTGTCTCCCACTTCCAGCTCATGAATCATTCGCAAAGTGCCCTGTTGAACCTCTTGGAGTTGAGACGCCATTTGCTCAAAGAAACCCTGGCCACACAGGAAATGTATGTGCTTGCCTCGTTCTGTTTGGTAGCGATAAAGGTCAAGAAGAAACTGTCCTGGCCATGGTGTCTTTTTGCCCTTGTCTGTTTTGTGGTTCCACGGCTGCTGCAAATCCAACCAGAGATGTGTCGGCTCATACATTGAGATCAGCTTCCAGAGGCGATCATACATACCCCGAGCGCTCCCAAGCTTTGCCGGAGAAAGTGTTAAAGCTCTCCCGCCACATCTCTGAACGGCTGCGCAAATGGCCCCACTACCGATTTCGATGACATCAAGGGAGGGCAGACGGTGCTGGCACACCGAATTTCTCACTGCATCACCAAGTTGTTCTTCGATTTGCAGGATGTACTTGTCTATTTGCGCACACATTTGTTGAACCTTGCCATGCCTCCCTTGATTGCTTGCGTCCGTCTCCATGCTTGGATCAACCCTCACTCCTTGTCGGCATCTTCGATCTCCCGAAGCCTCGTCAGCTCTCTTTCGAGCACGGCCCGGCGCGTCATGATCTCCTCCGGCGACATGGCAATGGGCATCTGCGAGCTTGCCCCCGGCTGACTGTTCCTCTTGCTGCCCCGGCTCGGTGCAGCTGTGTGGGATGTGGCATCCGGCGAGCAGAGCTTCCACCCATCGCTCTCCTCTCCGTCCATGACGGCTGGACCCTGGGACTTGATGTTCTTTGCCTCCGCCTTGGTCGTGGACCTCGCCTGCTCCGTCTTGGCCATCTGCTTCAGTCGCATCAGGGCATAGTTCTTGAACGACAGTGCCCATGGGCTGCTGAGAGAAGACTTCCGAGCCATGAGGATCGAGTAGGACAGGTCGGTCTCGAACGTTTTCTCGTGACTCTTTCCTTTGTGCTTGCCAGCCGCGATCACCACTTGGCCCCATTCCCGAAGATTCGCAATCCCCGGTGGGCGGACAACTTCCACCTCCAAGTACTTTACCATGGTCAGCTGTTCCTCGGCCAAGTGCACATCCTCCTCCGCGGAGAGAGGTTCGTCCAGATTGACCTCGGGCATCTTCTCTTGGAGCTTCTTCACGGACTGCTTGACTGAGGTGGGCATCGCTCGGTTGGAAGCCGCTCGGCGAAGGAGAAGGATATTCGAAGATTCGTGCTGTCTGCTTGAGCTCAGGCTGCCGTGTTGTGTTCTGTGGTTCCTGGAAACGCTGCTTTGCTGATTCTGGTGGAACGGAAACATCTTCTGGGGAACTGGGGACTGGACTGTTGGCTGGTGTTCCCGAGGAGGCTTCTGGACGCGGGCGCGCCCCCAGACTGTCAACAACGTAGACTATGGATAGGCCTCGCTCATCCCATCTAAGGTCTACCCTCCTAGAACCACCCAGCATTAAATACCCCTCTTTAACATGAATAACTGCGTCCAGGTCCCTGAGAAGACGATTTGATATCAACAAAGGAGTGTTTCCGGGGATCACCTCAACTCTGACCCATGTGTCTTCTGAGGTGGGCAGCAGCAGCGCAAATTTTGACGTGAGTGTCCCGCTGTTTCCAAAACGGAAGGTGACATCAGAAGCTATCTTCCTTACTCGACCGCGACACTCTGCAGCAAGACCGCTTATCACTTCTCGAACCCTTTGGTCTCCTAGCACAGTCCTACTGGCCCCTGTATCTAGCACCCCCTCAGTACCTACAGTGGCTACTAGAATTGCTTCAGGAATTATGGGACTGGGCTTGCTGCGTCTCAAAACTGCCTGCTTCGGCGCGGTTGCCGGCCCTTGCGCCTCAGAAGATGCACCCGGCGGCGCACAGCTTGGCGTCCTACATGTCCTGTGAATCATTAACAAACGTCGTGCAAGGCAAGACTCGAGAGACAAAGAAGGCCTCACCTTTGGCGCAACCATAAAGCAAGTCTCCCCGAAGTCCTGAATTACTCCAGGATTCCCTGTCCCTGTGCTAACCCCTCTCTGTGTCCATGCGCTGTCGTCCTCATCGATGTTGAAGGGCTCGGAGTCTGGCAGGGTCTGGAGAACCTCCGATTGGAAGGGGTCGGTCGGCTGGATCTGGGCAAACAAGGTCCTGGCTTAGCGTCGTTCTTCGGGCACTCCCGCTTCCAGTGCCCTCTGGCCCCACATTGTTTGCAGTTGGAGTTGGCGATCCGATCTGCAAGGGAACGTCGACGGCCCCCATCCCAGGAACCATAACCCTTGCCTCTCTTCCCGGACTGGCCCTTCCCCTTCATCTTGCCCTTGATGGGCCAGAACCCCCTGGACTTTGCTTTGTCCCGCAGCTTTTGACGAGCTTCTTGGTACGAGGCAAAGACTGGGGCCAACTCACTCTCCTGCACCGCCTCCACTATCTGATCTTCAAACTCCGTGATGTAGATCGTCCTCGTCATTGGCCTCAAGGAAGTGAGCCAGGATGAGCTCATCGCTGAGGTCCTCGTCCTGTCCCATCGCCGTGTGCACTTCCTCAAAGGTGTCGTCGTCTGTCGTCATGTGGATGTCGTAGACCTTGCTTCGATCCATTGCCTTGGCATTTCCCGGGCCACTACGGTTCTGAAAGTCTGTGAAGAACTTGGACCCCAAGAGCCGCACTGCTCGGACCGTTTCTTGGTACTTCAAGTCGCCCTTGGCTTCCACGATCACACGCTTCTTGTCCTCCGGGGCCAACAAGGAATGACGGAGAAGAACATAGGCGCGGATCTCTTCAAGGGTCACCCCACGGCTCAAGAGTTCCTCAAAGAAAGCGTCGTGTCTGGCAATGTACGAATCGTTACTCTCGTCCGCCTTCTGTTGCGTCTGAAAGATGGCCTGCTCAAAGAAGTGGTATCGCTCCTCCACTGTGGTCTTTCCCCAAGACCCGCCCAGCGACTCCACAAGGTACTTCACACCATCAGGTCCTCGCAACTGCTCGGGCTTGATCCGGCTCACCTTTTGGAAGGCGGCCCCCTCCACCAAGAGGGCTGCCCGGGGAGCCAACAACGACAGATGCTCGGCTGGCCACAACTCTTTGAGAAAGCGAAGCCGTTGAGAGTACTCGTCCACGCTTGTCACCCCTGGCGTAGACTTCGGGACCTGCTGCCACGGGAGATGGCTCACACCTCCGGTGGCTCCTGCCGCTGCTTCAGCCGTTCCTTCTGAAGCTTGCGCCATGGCGCCGCGCCACTCCCATCAACAAAAACTCCCTGGAACTTCCTGTTTACACTAACTCCTAGCTAGCGACAGGCCGGGCTCCGCTACCAATGTGAAACCCCTATGCCTAAGCCCGGTCCTGTCGGCCTAAGCAATGTCGAATGAGGCACCCTGACCTAAGTAACCCTATGGTCTGTCCACAGACCCCTATGAGGACCCAGCCCTGAATGCAGCCCTCCACTGCACCCCGTGCAGTTTTGGTCAAGCTCTAGCCTCTCCCTCCCACCTCGGAGCTGTCGGAAGGGCCGGCGAGGATGAAGACATGTTGGACAGCACAAGTGAACATGGGAACCTGTCGGTTTAACATTAGTTTAGGGCGGCACAAAGTGTCAACTCAGCGCCGGTACCTCGCTGGTCTGGACCCCTCTTCATTCTCCCCAGAGGATCTTGAAAAGGGTCCCTCAACCCAAGGGTACAACTTTATAGAGTCCCTAAATACACCTTGGGCGGCGCTGTTTAGGGTTAAGGGTTCACGTTTGATTGGGCTTTAGGGTTCAGTTTAGGTGATAAGTTTAGGTAGCCTAAACCAAGGACTTTACTGTATTGGATGCCAAAGCGGAGCAGTCTCGAGAGCTGCACACATCATTCAAGGCTGATGTTCGGGTTCGAGTTGCTGTTTAGCAGAAACTCTGCTGCTGGAATTCTTCGGATCTTTGTGTGAGGGTTATGATGTAGGGCCTGAATTGATTGGGTTGCAGTGTATAAGCTTAGCAACCTAAATATCTGTGCAGCCACAGAAGCAAGGCACTCAAGTGCCTTAACCTTGTAGCGGGTGGCTTCAGGGGCTTCGGACTTGTGGCTTTCTGGTGGTGCCGGACCTGAAACGCACCTTGGCCTGTGCGAAACGCAGTCCAGCAGAGCCTGAAATGCACCTCCGCGGCCACGCACGGCGGACCTGAAACGCACACCCCCGTTCACGGTCGGGCGGACCCGAAACGCGCTTTGACCGTGTCAGTCGTGGTGTGTCATGGTGTGGTAACATGGTGTGTGGTGTCAGTCATGGTGTGTGTGTGTGTGTCAGTTATGGTGTGGTGACATGGTGTGTGGTGCGTTGGTGACGAGAGGAGGAGGAGGGAGGCAGAGGAGGAGGAGGGAGGGAGGGAGGAAGGGAGGAAGGGAGGAGGAGGAGAAGGAGGAGGAGGCGGGACAGCCCCAAAAGTAAGAACCCCACGCAAAGATGTGGGGGAAAATGACGTTTTCCTTTGATATGAATAGACAAAACAGAGGTTAAAAGATGTAAGTATAGAGAAAAGAGGAGCAGGTTTGTATGGAAATATCGAGAAAATAGAGGTTTGTTTTCTTCCGCAAACATGGAAAAACAAGGCTTACGGATGCGGTGGAGCACCCACACAACCCCTGCCCCCCCCCGCCCCCCCGCACACACAACCCAACCCCCCCCCCCCCCCCCCACACCAAAAAAGGCCAAAAGACATGTCCACCCGGGTTTCTACCCCGGAGGAGGAGTAGTAGTTGATTCGCATGCAGAAAGTAGAAAGAGTAGCGAACAAAGTAGAACAAGCGAGGGGTGAGGAGTGTTGATGCCTTTTGCAGGAGTAACTCTGTGTTGTTTTCGGGCTTATCGGAACATCGTCACCGCTCGCTCGGTGAATCCTGATTTCAGTGATTCCTTCCCCCCTCTCTCTCGTGGATCTGTGGGGCTGTTAGGGATTTGGGAGGGTCTTGCCGGTTGTTGGCAGCCCGGGCGCGCCTAGTGCGCGGGAGTTCTCCCCCTCATGCCCCGAAGAAGAAGAATAAGAAGAAGAAAAGAGTAAACAGACTAAAAATAGAGCACAGGAGAGTGAGCTCCTCGTCTCAATGCCGTTTGCTAGGAGAACGGCGTGCAAGGCTACCCGACGCTAAAGCTTTGGAAGGCGTCTGAAAGAGTCACTGAAAGAGTCGCAAAAGAGTGCACTCACTCTCTTCAGAGTGTGCAATAGCATGCAACAGAATGCGGCCAGGACGGTCGGATGCAAGACTATAATGGCGGCCGTGACTTCAACTCTCTCAAGCGTGAGGTGTCTCGATGAGAGCATCCGTGTGTGTCGGAATTTTGGGAATGATCGGTTGCGCATTGTGTTGTTGACGTCTGGTGACGTGGGGGGGGGGGGGGGTTTCTGGTGGAGATATCCTTTTGTTTCAGAGAGGTGGATCGCAAGCTCGACCCACGGCCAGCTTGCAGCCTGGAGTCAAAGGAGCAATTCGACTGAGCACGGAGTTCGCGATCAAATAGAAAGATAAAATGCTTTGAAAAGGCTTTTGGTGCGCCTTTTTGACTTTTCCTCTGAGCGCCTTGCTCCTTTCCTCTCCAGGATGCCTGCACGCCGGAGGCCGCACGATATTTGCCGATGCGGGCCTCGCATCCCCGTCCAAGCTCTCCTTTCACTGATATCTTCTTTGCAGTTCGCGCTCTGTGAGGACAGGGCCACCCTAGAGGAAAGCGAGAAGATGTCAAAGGCAGGCCCAACAACTGTGCGCATGGACAGCCCGTGCAATGCTTTCAAAGGCGGAGAGGGCGGCAAAGATAAAGCAGGTGCAAGAGGAGATCCAGGCGATGAAGCGCTGCGAACAGTCCCGTGGGGGGAGGGCTTTTCCTCTTTGGCGCTTCGGCTTTGTCAAAAGGAGTCCAAGAAGCAAGCTGCCGAGCTCGAAAAGAAGGCGAAGAGGCCCAGAATGTCTACTCGTGTCAGCAGTCCCAACAAAGCCGAGCCGTGTACCTCGCATGTCCTGTGACCTGCTCTCTTCACTCTAAAGAGGGAGTTCAGTTCTCTGCACTCAGAGGCTGGCGGAGTCGTTGGAGCTCATCAAGGAGCTCTGTCCGCATGCTTTCCCTCCTTTCTCATCTTTCCTTGAGTGCGAGAGAGCGAGAGAGAGAGACCGAGAGAGAGAGAGAGAGACGGAGCGATTCCTGTCCCGACCCTGTTCGCATCGTCGACAAGCGAACCTAGGTGGCTGAAAAGTCCGGTCTCAGGAAATCAGCTTGGACAGGATCAGAGGAACATCCCACCCAAACCACTATGGCATGTTGCCTCCTGGGGATGTTCCAGGAATCCTGAAGGCCATAAGGATCTCCAACACCCACAGCTCTCGGGCTGAGTGCACTCGAGTATCACGCACCTTCTCCCCCTCTCTCCTTCCTATCTCCTTCCTCTCTCCCTCTCCCTCCCTCTGTCTCCCTCTCTCACTCTCTCTCTCTCTCTCTCTTCATCTCTCTCTGTTATCCCTTCTGCTCTCCTCTTCCCCCTTTTCTCCTTCCTCCTCCAGCGTTCTCGTTTTTGGCGCCTTGTTCCGGCCTCCATCCCTCCACACATCCCTCCCGCCCTTTGGCTCTGCTTGGCCTTCTGGCCTGGGCCTTCACGCTCCCGTGACCGCGTCGACACTTGGCCAGTCGGGACTCGGCATCGCATGAAGACATGAAGAGGTGCCCTGCCACTCCTTGCCCAATTGCGTGCAGTTCTGCTCCTCCAGACGACACCAGACGACACCAGACGACAAGGCTCGTGTTCCCTGCGTTTTCGCAGTGGACACCACGTTGCATCCAAGAACATTACAGGATCCACTGGTGGACTTCCTGGTTTTCCTACAACCAGCCCAGCCTGAATCCACATGCGTCACATGCGCATTCACCTCCATGGAACAATTGCCATGTGACAACTTTACGCTGGGTGCAGTCGCAAAACGCACGTTCTCGTGCCAATCAAGAAGCGCATCAGGTGTTTTGCCTTCGCGACACTCTGCATTGTGGGTGCCGTCACATCGCGACTCAGTTTCTTGATCGCATAGGCAATATCACCTCGCTACACTGAGTGCTCTTCAGCATGTTTGACAGTCGTGACAGTTCCTGTGGTTGCAACAGGCTTGGCATTTTTCATATTATCTAATTCCAGAAAGTTTGCGACGTGCATACGTCAGTCGAGTCTCCATTGTGGCACAGTCGCCGTCCCAGAAGATTGTGCTCAGTCTTGGTACTATCTGGCCAGTCTCTTTCAGCAACATTTCTTCGGACAGTTGGAACATAAACAACTTTGCGATTCGTCAGTCCCTACGACAAGCAGGTCCATTCTCTCACTCTCCTTCCCTGATTCCAGAGCGGGAAGCTCTGCTACCATGCGAAATTCAACACTACAGTCTAGACACTCAGTACCAACCATATTCAATCACCGTCTAGCCAGTCCTGTCCAATCTTGCGCCAATGCGCTCATCAGGGGTATGTGCGATGTGTCGCTTAACAAAGTGACCAAGTGAGGACCAAGCACATGACCAACATTTACTGATCCGGTGTTGTAGTTGCGTTCGACGATGTTCGACGGCTCGAAGCTTGTTGCGTTTTCACCTTGAGCCTCTTCGTTTCGTTCGCATGTTCTGACGGACTCCGTTTCACACCTTTTTGCCTTTCCGATTGGAGCCTTCGGTTGCGACCTGACGCGCGAACGCAAAAGGAAGCTCCAAAGTGCTGACGTTTGCGAGGATGGCACACCTGCGTGCTTCATCCTCGTAGCCGTCAGCACTTTCTGACATGCGAGCACACAGCAAAACCTCAAAAGTGACGACAATTGTCGAAGTTATCGCGGATTGCGCACCCTGGTGGCCTCAACAAACGCGACGTCTCACCTCCTGAAACACCTGCAAAATGGGATCCCTCTATGCGTTCGGGAGAAGAGTTTCAGATTGGAGCCTTCGGACTTTTGATGCGGTTTCGGGTTGCGTGCGGTGGCTCCAAGCTTGTTGCGGTTTCGCATGGGCCTCTTCGTTTTCTGCCTTCAGGTTTTCTGACTCCTGGTTTTCAGAGAGCTTTCAGACCGCGAGCCGGTTGCGGCAGCGATGGCTCGAAAGGCGCCTCTTCTTTTCCTGCACTTCGTGTTCTCCGATTGTGGCTTGGAATCTTCGAACGCGACCCATCGATGTTTTTGCGTCATCTATCTGCAGCAGTTTCGGCCTTTGGCGTTTTCTGACTCTGCGATTGCGCTTTGCGCCTTTCCATCGGCGTGTTTCTGACTCAGCCCTCAGCCAGAGAAAGAGCGAGAGAGCGCCAGAGAGAGGGCGAGCACAGGTCACAGTTAAGGACTTAGCTCCTTTTCTTTTTTTTTCTCTCTCTCTCTCTCTCTGTCTCTCTCTGTCTCTCTCTGTCTCTCTTTCTTTCTCTTTCTGCGAGGCCGGAGGCGCGGCCGTGGAGCGAGTGGAGCAGCTCTTGGAGGACGGCGACTGGCGCGCCCACTGTGAGGCTCGAGACCGCGAAAGAGGGAGGGGTACACGGTAGGAAGACCCCCTGTGACAGCTTTAGGCAGCCGTGTTCTATTCATGGGAGTGAAGACAATCGCCCCGTGCGCCCCACAGTGTGCATAGTGTGCCACATGTGAAAGAATTGCATGCTTCCCTAGAAACGGGCAAAAAGCGCCCTCAAAGAGACGGGCAGGCATATCGGGCATATCGTGGCCCATGAAACCACCTAAGCCCTAAAGGCCTAGAACCTTCAAAGGGGTAGCGTCGGCCACTGTGACCACAAGGGCTTTGCCCTTTGCTCCTTGTGGAGATGGCAGCATGGATTTTGCTGAGCGCCTTGTGTTCTTTGTGTTTTTGCGCAGGCTGGAGACGATCTGAAGGAGAGGTGTAGGAATACGCTGCAATACGCTTGTGTAAAGCGGGACGGGAGTGGAGAACGGAACTGGGGAAGGGAGTCATAAGTTACCCTCAAAGCCTCAGCGTTTGCTTGGGACTTCAAACAAGTAGGCATATGTGACGTGGATAAGTCATGATGACAAGAAGATATTACAGTTTAGAGATGTTTAGAGCTGTCTCTGGAGCAGTCGTGGAAGCCATTAGAAAAGTCACGGGTGGCGACCGCTTTGAGACGTTTCGAGGCCATTGGGTGTTCGTCTTCGTTTAAGAAGATGTGTGCAAAGCCAGTGCAAAGCAGCAGAAAGAGAGAGCGGTGAGAGCGGTGAGAGGGGGTCCAAACACCGAGCACCTCCCAAGCCCATCCAAGCCCCAGCGAATGAGTCCTTGAAACAGGCGCTATGAGCAGAAGCCCTGAGCCTAAGCCCAGTTTCGGAACTTTCTCTGTCCCTGCCATGTGCAGGGCCGCACTTGCATCGGCCACTCTGGCAAAGCTTTGTGCAATTCTCGCAGAAGTGCGCAGAACCTGTGTAAAGAGTATCTGAATTATCTGAGCGATGGAAAGTGACACGCCAGTCGCCTTCCTGCCGCACATCTATGACGACGGTGCGAAGCCCAAGGGATGCAAGAATTACGTGGGCCGTGTTGCGCTAGGCCGCTACGCTCTTCTTTTTTCCCAAAAACATCTCGGATGTTGGGTTCTCGTGATTCAAAGCGTGAGAGCGCGATACCGGGAATGGCGGCGCGGGGTGAAAGCGAAACGGGGATGAAAACGAAGCGGGGATGAGAACGAAACCCGGCTCTGTCCTCCTCGTAGTACTTTTGTAATACAATTCAACGAAAATCCCTCAGCTTCCCGCCCCGCCGTACGCGCCGTCGTACGCGCCGCAGTGCGCTCTGGCGCCCCTCCGGCTCTGTCCTCCCATTTCTACATTTGTACTACAATTCAACGAAAATCCCTCAGCTTCCCGCGCCGCAGTATACATTTGTGCTACAATTCAACGAAAATCCCTCAGCTTCCCGCGCTGCCGTACGCGGCGTCGTACGTGCCGCAGTCCGCTCTCGTGCCCCTCCGACTCTGTCCTCCCAGTACTACATTTGTACTACAGCTCAACGAAAATCCCTCAGCTTCCCGCGCCGCAGTGCACGCAGTCGTACGCGCCGCAGTCCGCTCTCGCGCTCCTCCGGCTCTGTCCTCCCAGTACTATACATTTGTACTACAACTCAACGAAAATCCCTCCGCTTCCCGCGCCGCCGTATGTCCTCCCAGCACTATATTTGTACTACAAATCCACGAACATCCCTCCACTTACCGCGCCGCCGTACGCGCCGTCGTACGCGCCGTCGTACGCGCCGCAGTCCGCACTCGCGCCCCTCCGGCTCTGTCCTCCCAGTACTACATCTGTAGTGTACATTCAACGAAAAACCCCTCCGCTCCCCACGCCGCTGTACGCGCCGTCGCACGCGCCGCAGTCCGCTCTCGCGCCCCTCCGGCTCTGTCCTCCCAGTACTACATTTGTACTACAATTCAACGAAAATCCTTCCGCTTCCCGCGCTGCTGTGCGCGCCGTCGTATGCGCCGCAGTCCGCACGCGCCGCTCCGGCTCTGTCCTCCCAGTACTACATTTGTACTACAAATCGACGAAAATCCCTCCGCTGTACGTGCCGTCGTGCGCGCCGCACTCGCGCCCCTCCTCCGGCTCTGTCCTCCCAGTACTACATTATGTGGGCGTTATCCGCAAACCCTTGTCTTCTTTTTTTTAATGGCGAATATTTTATATAGATTTCTGCTTGTTTTTTTAGTATCCGCGAAAGGCCCGCGAAAGCGCGGCGGAAGGCGCCGCGAAAGGGATAATCTGGTTGATAAAATATCATGCCCCTTAACCCTCAAACCCCAAGCAAGTGCGTTTAGGGACCGCCCCTAAACGCACCCGTGGTGCAGGTTTCAGCCTATTTGTGGTTCATACTGATAGAACATCCTGCCCGAATGCGAGTGGTGCCTAAACGCACCCATAGTGCAGGTTTCAGCCTATTTGGGGTTCATACTGATAGAAATAATTTTTCCTGTCCCTTAAGCCTCAAACCCCAATGCGAGTGCGTTTAGGGAACGCCTCTACACGCACCCATTGTGCAGGTTTCAGCCTATTTGGGGTTCATACTGATAGAATATCTCTTAAGCCGCAAACCCCAATGCGAGTGCGTTTAGGGACCGCCTCTAAACACACCCATAGTGCAGGTTTCAGCCTATTTGGGGTTCATACTGATAGAATATCCTGTCTCTTAAGCCGCAAACCCCAATGCGAGTGCGTTTAGGGACCGCCTCTAAACGCACCCATAGTGCAGGCTTCAGCCTATTTGGTAGAACATTCTGCCCCTTAACCCTCAAGCCCCAATGCGAGTGCGTTTAGGGACCGCGCCTAAACGCACCCATTGTGCAGGTTTCAGCCTATTTGGGGTTCATACTGATAGAAATAATTTTTCCTGTCCCTTAAGCCTCAAACCCCAATGCGAGTGCGTTTAGGGACCGCCTCTAAACGCACCCATTGTGCAGGTTTCAGCCTATTTGGGGTTCATACTGATAGAATATCCTGTCTCTTAAGCCGCAAACCCCAATGCGAGTGCGTTTAGGGACCGCCTCTAAACGCACCCATAGTGCAGGCTTCAGCCTATTTGGTAGAACATTCTGCCCCTTAACCTCAAGCCCCAATGCGAGTGCGTTTAGGGACCGCGCCTAAACGCACCCATTGTGCAGGTTTCAGCCTATTTGGGGTTCATACTGATAGAAATAATTTTTCCTGTCCCTTAAGCCTCAAACCCCAATGCGAGTGCGTTTAGGGACCGCCTCTAAACGCACCCATTGTGCAGGTTTCAGCCTATTTGGGGTTCATGCTGATAGAGTATCCTGCCCCTTAACCCTCAAGCCCCAATGCGAGTGCGTTTAGGGACCGCGCTCAAACGCACCCATAAGTGCAGGTTTCAGCCTATTTGGGGTTCATACTGATAGAATATCCTGCCCCTTGACCCTCAAGCCCGAATGCGAGTGCGTTTAGGGACTGCCCCTAAACGCACCCATAGTGCAGGTCTCAGCCTATTTGGGCTTCACACATACTTTGTTTTGCTCCCCGACGAATGCGTTTCAAACGCACCCATATGGGGCTTAGGGGGTTTTATGCCTGATGCTTGAAAGCATTCGGGGATCAGGGGCAAAGTGCGTTTTGGAAGGCTTCAAAAATGCACACTGATCCCTGTCGAGTGCAAAAACGCAGGCTTGGATGGTTGATGGCACGTGCTGGAGAGCAAGATCTCCGCGACTGACCGCGAAAGTGCTCCCTGATTTCACGCTGTTTCTGAGAGGAAGCGCACGCTGAAAATGGCGAAAGGCACGCGAAACGTGCGCGAAAGGGACGCGATTGGGCGACAGGTCATGGAAAGGTATTGGCCAGCCGTGCTTCCAACTTCCATTAAATCTGGCTGATAGAATATCATGCCATTAGCCCTCAAACCCGAAACGAGTGCGTTTAGGGACCGCGTGCAAACGCACCCATGGTGCAGGTTTCAGCCTATTTGGGGTTCGTACTGATGGACTCCCATGCCCCTGCACACCTCAAACCCAAGTGAGTGAGTTAAAACTGCACTATGGGTGCGTTTAGGGGCGGTCCCTAAACGCACTCGCATTGGGGTTTGAAGTGTTCAGGGGCATGAGAGTCCATAAGTACGAACCATGAATAGGCCGAAACCTGCACAATGGGTGCGTTTAGGCGCGGTCCCTAAACGCACTCGCATTGGGGCTTGAGGGTTAAGGGACAGGATATTCTATCAGTATGAGCCCCAAATAGGCTGAATCCTACACTATGGGTGCCTTTAGGGGCGGACCGTTTGTCCAGAAGCCTTGCTTTCAGCACATTGATTCCCCTTCTTGGGATGAGAGAGCAAAGTGCATTTTGAGGGTCCTGGAAAACGCACACTGGAGCTTGTATTTGGTTTTGTCGACCACTTGTCCACAAGCATTGAAACCAGCACATTGATTCCCCTTCTTGGGGTGCGAGGGCAAAGTGCGTTTTGGGGGGCTTGGAAAACGCACCCAGCTTCCCTGCTGTTTGTACTTGGTTATGTCGACTATATCATCGACGAAAACTCTATGATAGTTTTACGTCTCCGCGAAAGGGCGCGAAAGGTCCGCGAAAGGCGCGGCGCTTGGTGCTTTCCTGGGAACAAGAAAATCAGACAACCCCCATGTACTACAATTCAAATAAAGACACTCCGCTTCCGCGCCGCGCCATCCCCGTTTCGTTTTCACCCGTTTCGTTTTCATCCGGCCCTTCTGATCCCCACGCCATCCCCCTTTCGTTTTCATCCCCGTTTCGTTTTCACCCTGCGGCTCCGATCACGCGTTTCGTTCTCATTCCCGCTTCGTTTTCATCCCCGTTTCGCTTTCAACCCGGAGGGGCGCGAGAGCGGATTGTGGATATATATACTTTTTACGAGGCAAAACCAAAAAAACAATCTTTTTCAACTTTCCTCTCCCCGTTCTCTTAAAAAGTTGTTTTTTTTGTTTTTTTGGTTTCGCCCGTCTCGGCGTCCAGTCCTGTGGTCCGCTGTTTTGTCGAGAGACAGCCACTGAGAGTAGCAAAGCATAGGGCACGATCGGGTTTTAAACGGTCTTTACGAGGGAAACAGATCTGGGTAGGTCATGGGGGGGGGGGGGGTGTCCATATATATATATGATATGTATACATATATATATATATTTTTTTTTTTACATCCTTTTGATGTCCTTCTTTAAGGATCTGGGTTCCAAAATGATGAGCTCTGGACCGGGTACAACCAAAGCCAGCACGCAGTCTCAGTCTATACGCTTCTGACAAACACGCCATAGCATGAGGTTTTTCGCCTCCACTAATCAACTACCCTGCGTCGCCTTATTGTCTTCTTATACTATCTTATACTCATTTATAGAATGTGCATACGGAATGGATGTTAAAGTGGAAGTTTCACTCCGGCACTGGTTTCATTCGGATTGTTTTTGGGTTCCTGGCTTTACTTTGTTTGTCATTCTTCTTGTTCTTGTTCGTCTTGTATTTCTTTTTGTTGTTCTCCTTCTTGTTCTTCTTATTGATTGATTTATTGATTTATTCTCGTTCTTGTTGTTCTTCTTGCTCTTCCTGTTGTTTTTCTTCTTGTCGGTTGTTGGTTGCCGGTTGTTGGTTGTCGGTTGTCGGTTGTTGGTTGCTGGTTGCCGGTTGTTGGTTGTTGCTTGTTGGTGGCCCAGACTCGAGCGCAAGAAGAACAGAATCTGCGAAAGGACCCCGCTAAGTCGGTCTTTGACAGGCATGAGCCTTTCAGCCTTGCACTTCCTCATGACCTGGTTGCTCGTAGCGAAAGATGTGGGACCCATATTCCCACACGAAGCAGTTCCCATGAATTGAAACGCAGGTTGCTGTCAGTAAGCAAAATGAATGGGGGGGGGGGGGTTGCGTCACAAAATCTGGCAGGTTAGGGGGAAGGAGACCGGATCCGTGTCTGCTTGTTCCAAACGCTTCTCGGCAGGAAGCCGAGGCGAATTAGGGATACTTCCGTCAGGACGATGCTGTACTATGTACTCCATACGGCTGGATTCCATAAACCTAACACAGGGCAATACGAAGAAATGTGGATGCTCCATACCAGCAGTCGACTTTCTTGCACAGAAAATCCAGCTCCAACCTGCGGAAATCATTGGTCCAATGATGCTATCCACATGTTTCAATTCCGTTCTGATCAGGTGTCATTAAACATCGCAGGCGATGTGTGGTGCACCAGGTCCAAAAGTGCATTTCAGCATGGTCTGCACGTGTGGGCTGGTGAGGTTTCCTCGTGCATACAGCAGCTATCTGTGAACAATGCACAAAGCCAGGTGATGTTAACGCTTGAATAGCTTGATGGCTTGTCGCTTCCATCACGAGGATCCAACATCGAAGCAAAAGTCTGCGAGTGCCACAATAGGCCCTCGAAGTACCTCCTCCTTTGCAGTGATCCAACATCATTCTCGCCTCCCGCGTTGTCAAATGCGCGTGATGCTCAACTTCCCGTGTTGTCAACTGTGCATCGTCTGGGCAGTTGGTTTTGCGGCCTGGAGCTTAGGGGCTTGAGGTGGCCATCTGTCCCGAAGTGTAGCCGGCAGTTGGCTTGGCTTTGCAGCATCTGGAGCTCAGGGGCTTAAGGGGGCCATCTGTCCGGAAGGGTAACCAGCTGATGCTCATGATGCTCGCCTCCCGCCTTGTCACAATGCGCATAAGTTTGGGCAGTTGGCTGTACAGCATCTGGAGCTTCGGGGCTTAGCGGGGCCATCTGTCCGGAAGTGTACCCAGATGATGCTCATGATGCTCACCTCCCGCTTTTTGGCAGTTGGTTTCATCTGTCTGGAAGTGTACCCAGCTGATGCTCATAATGCTCGCCTGCCTTGCCAAATGTTAGGCAGTTGATTTTGCGGCATGTGAAGCTTCGGGGCGTAGGGGGGCCATCTGTCCGGAAGTGCAGCCAGCTGATGCTCATGATGCCCACCTCCCGCTTGTCAAATGCCCGTTCTCCTTGCCTTTACAGGGCCCTTCCCTCAGACGCCAGAGCTCTTACCAGCTTGGGCAACAGGCTCCAGTCCTCTGCAACTCTGCGAACTCCGAACTCACCCCGCACTTCAGAGTGGCGGGAGACTCTTTGTGTCAGTCCAGGACCTCTTTCCTTCTCACCGTCAATGCCAGGGTGCGGGACTGACCTGCGTAAGCGGTCGAAATGAAAGATGAACTTCAGTGAAATGAATGAAACGAAGCGAAATGAAATGAAGCTGTCTTATTCTTCTTCTTCTTCTTGTTATGCTTCTTCTTGTTCATCTTCTTCTGGTTCTTCTTCTTGCTGTTCTTCTTTTGTCGTCGCCAGTCTTCGCATTTTTGATCTATCTGGCTGAGACACTTTTTCTTGCGATCTTTGATACTTCTTCTCTCCCTAGGTGCCGCCGGACGTCGGGAGAAGATCCAGGCGGAGAGAGCGGGCTTCAAAAGGGAAATGGGATGGAAACAAGGGTAATTAGAAGGTAAGAGAGGGAGAGGCGCGGGCGGGCCATAGCCATGGAGCTGAGAGAAAGTGAGGGAGGGCGAGTAGGATCTTGAGAGTAGGATCTGCATGTTGCAACAAGCAGCAGCATTTTCATGTAGGTTCTGGACCAAGTCATGAAAGAGACGAAAAAGGACCGCAGCACGTGCACCACATATACTGCCAACTGCACTTTCACAAAAGCCCGTGAGGACGGCAAGTCGGTGGGCTTTTTGTGGAGCCAGGGCGGTGACCAATTCGAAATGGAGGAGGCAGGGGGGAATGATTCTAGAAGTGCTCATTGAAGGGTCGCAAGGACCTGTGAGGGACTGTTCTGCGACACTGCGAAGAAGACTCCATACTGGGGCGAAAGTTTCAACCCAACCCAACAGATGCCTCCTCGACTTCTCATAAGGTGTTGTTTGGTACTTGGGACATTGCGCGGCCGCACAAGGATGAAGGAAGTTAAATGAATGCGGTGTCTGGCATGCAGCAAGTGCTGATGCTGCTCATGTTCACACGCAGGAAGTTCGCGAATGGGTTCCGTCAGGTCCTGGGTTTGCAGTTTGGCTTCCCAGCTGCCCGGGGCATAGCGAGAAAGCATCATGGAAATGACGATGCTGTGACATGCTGTGACCTCAGGTCATCGCAGTGAATTTTGGCAAGGCAGGTTTGCAAAGCCAAGCAGCCGCACTTCAACAACAGAACTGCTGACAAAGCTCAAAAGTGCTATGTAGTTCACAGTCAGAATTCGTCAGTTTAGATTTTACGGCTAGTTCTTAATTGAAATCCTTTAAAGACTTTGTCTTGGCTTCGACTCTTTGGGTGTCAGGGCCGATTTGGTGTGCCTCGGAGCGAAGTCAAGTGGTTCGCATGCGAAGACATGCGAAAGACATGCTCTCACTTTCTCGCGTGTGTGTGTGTGTGTGTGTGTGTGTGTGTGTGTGTGTGTGTGTGTGTGTGTGTGTGTGTGTGTGTGTGTGTGTGTGTGTGTGTGTGTGTGTGGGTGGGGGTGTGTGTGTGTGTGTGTGTGTGTGTGTGTGTGTGTGTGTGTGTGTGTGTGTGTGTGTGTGTTTTTTTGTGTCGTTCTCTTGTTATCTTCTCAACAGTGTGACGTGGGACAGCAAAGGTCCACCGTGGCACCTTCGACAAGGACTCCATCTCTCAGTTCCTTACCTCCCTCTCCCGCGGGGGAACCCCGCCGAGAGCCCAAATGGGGGCCCCCTGGGCCCCCCTTGTGCTTTTTCAGAGAAGGGGAGAACTCTGAGGAAAACTCTGAGAGGAACTTAGGGAGAACTGTGAAGAGGGGAGCGATAGCCCATATAACTCTGCACCATTTCCAGTCCCCTACTCTCCATCCAGATCTGCATAATTATTCATAATCATTCAAGACGCTTCGGATTGGGAACAGTAGCTGTGTTGCCTTGTACAGGTAGGTCTATCTGCCACCGAATGGGGAATGGGGAAAGCACTTGTGGTGCCCGGGAGGAAGGACCGATAAGGGAGGTCTCCCTATTGGAGCAGGGACAAGAGGCGGAGCATGGCATCTGCCTTTGCTGGTCTTTACTACATGCGCTGGCTCGTCACGCGTCATGCGAAATCGGGTTGGGGCGGTTGACCAGTTGACTTGACAAAAGTCTCGTCGTGCCTCCCAATGTGCCGGATGCTCCCTGCTGATCCCAGATATTCTTCCATTCGATTCGATTCTCTTCTTAACAAAGCGTCCCAGCTACTGGCTGGCAGTGTTTGGCACAGCGAAGAGAACGTTGAAGAGAATGTGTTGTGCAGCACGCGGAGAAGCGAGTCTCAGAGTGCGCAGAGGTGTGAAGGGTCTGAGACACGACGTATGTGTGGGAAGGGCCGGAGAGACGAGATGAGATGAGAGAGCGTGGGAGAGAGAGTGGAGAGATGAGATGAGACGAGATGAGATGAGAGAAAGTGGAGAGATGAGAGATGAGAGGGCCCTCTTCTCTCCTTTCTTGTGAGGTTGGCACCTTGGCCCGTCGGTGCCTTAGAGAGTCTTCAAGTTCATAACTGGATTCTCAGAGGGATTCTCGAGGCCCGGGCGGTCGCTGCAAAGGCCGAGGCCTGGGATGGCAAGGAGACGCAGCCGAGAACAATCCTTGGCTAAAAGAGCTTAGCAAATCTCTCTTCAAATTGTGTTCTCATACTCCCTTTCAGAAAGCCAATCTTTGTGGATGCAGCTTTTGATGCTTTCTGCAATTCATTTCAGGATGCTGCTCCGCCGGAGGAGGACCTCTGAGGCGAACTGGGCGCTTGTCCGCCCCCCTCCCAGACTGCCCCAACAACTGCGCACAAGCTCAATGGAGCAAACAAAGACTGCGCGACTGCGCGATGTGCAAGTGCACGCCGAAAAATGCCCCGAGATAATGTGAATATATGTGAGTTGTCGAGTTGTCCTTTTGTTGTGGATATGTTGACCCGGCGCAGCTTTCGCCAATCGAACCGCAGTGGCATGCAGTAGCTCAGTAGCACAGCTGGGAAGCATTCGAATCATTCGATGCTTTGGAAAGGTGAGGATGTCCAAGAGTTCGAAGATGCAAACTCTCGCGCCAAGGAGCCCCAGAATTGTCGGACGCGAAGGAGCACGGTGCAGTCGTATCTGGGGAGAGCACCGCACGGAGCATGCTCGGAACCAAACACCTTCACACGAAACCCCCTCCCGCTTCCCCCCAAAAAATAGGAAGACAATAACAAAAACAAAGCCCGAAACCCCCCACAACCTCCACGCAAGCCCCTGAAGCCCCAGCCCGAAGGGCTTAGCCCGAAGGGCATGAAATGCCTGCAGGTCCTCCGAGATGGTCCCACCCCCCCCCCCCCCCCCCCCCCCCCCCAAACGAAGGCACACACCGCTGCTTGGAAGACTCCAGGCCTTTCCGAGGCGAAGAACATCCCCCAACATGTCGCTTTCGGTCCATCGTCAAGACAGACGGTTTGCTGTGCTCACTTGAAAGCACTCTCCGTCTGATTTTGCTGGTTCTGGTAGTTCCGTGCAGTGATGAGGTTCTTGGGTTATCTGTTCATGTCTGTTCACCAGCGAAGTGTTGCTGCGCGGGATGCCAGCGGGGACAGGAGACCCTTTTGGGGATGCTTCTCCGTTGCCTGCAGAAAAACTCTCAGATTGAGACAAGAGCAGGGATCCTCCCCGCGTGTTTTTTCCCAAAGAGAGGGTGCTCTCAGTGCTCTCTTTCGGATGGCTCTTTAGGATGTGTACTCACCATGAGGGTGTACACAACTTTTGTCTCAACTCTAATTCAGTCTCAAGACTTGAGAGAGAGAGAGAGGGAACTCCTTATGGTTGTGAAGTCGTTTCGGCTACATCTACGCCGAATGTTATGACCCCCGCCCCAACCCACCAGAGCTTGACTGACAAAGTGAGATCTTGAGAAAAACCATCCCTCGTGGGGCTTTACGGTCATAGATGCAGCTCATATCCATTGGGTCACTGGGTGCCCGTGCAAGTGTGGTCGGGTGCTCTCACAAAGCACAGCACACAACAACTCCATGCTGCAAGAGCGCTCAGGTTTGCCTTGACAAAAACATGCAGTGTCTCTTCTCTACTTTAATTTCTGCCTGTGGCCTTTGTTCTCAAGAGTGCCCGTCGAGCTTCCGGTGGCGCACAAGATGATGCTTCGGATCAGAGCAGCAAGTATGCCTGGAACGGTAGGGCTTTCTGTCAGTGAGCATGTAGAATCGTGAGTGTGTAAATGCTGTGTGCCGCCGGCCCCGGCCAAATCAAACCTGGAAAACCTGGAGGTTGTAAAGAGATTCGTAAGAAAAAGCTAGAAAAAGGGGGTCTCTAGAATTCTCTAGACGTTCCAAAGGATGAAGGGTGTTGCCCTGGTGCTCGTAGAGGAAGCGACAACCCGCAGCTTTTTACTGTTTTTCTGGTTGGGGCACCAGATGTCACCAGATGTCACCAGATGTCACCAGATGCCGGTTTGGCGGTTAGGATCTTCTGCAAGAAGGGCGGACTCGAAACCACTCTATCAATTCAAATCTCAGGAGGGTCTCTATAGAATATCCAACAGGTCCCCGTGCGGCGTTCCCTACAAGGAGGTCCCCGTGCGGCGTTCCCTACAAGGTTCCAGGTCCATTGAACGCCCTGCACTGACTGCACGGGAAAGATCCTCAACAGGAGAAGCACGCGGACTCTAACTCTAACGATGTCATCCACTTTATGAAAACGCTGAAGAATTTTCAGTGCCCATCCCCAGTGCCCATACCGCATTGTTTTGCAGCGCCTCATCCCTCACCCTTTCGGCTCAAACTCTATTTCTCGCTGGCGCTAAGGGCTAAAGCAAATAGAGAGAGACAGAGTGGGCGCCTTTGGATTTCTGTTGGCGCACGGACGCCTTTCCTCTACGGTTCTCGAGACTCTACGGAGTTCTACGGCGCATTCCACTCCCGTGGAGAGGCCTGGAAATGTGCTCAATGTGCTCCCCTTGTTTGGATTAGCGTGCTAGGAAGTCACATGGAGCCAAGTGGGGGAAGCTTCCTCAGGTTTTTTAGTCAGTCTTAGAGGCTTAGAGTTACAAGGGCCGGTTCCATCATGTCAGCGAATAGTACGGTTGCCATCATAGCCATCTGTGCACGTGCTGTGTAGCGGTAAACCAGTATGCCTTCTGCCCCGCGCAGGAGCGGATGCTGTACCTGCAGCAAGTGCTCAACGACATCCGCAAGGAACAGTTGCTCAGATTCAGGGGCCCCGAAATTGAGACGGGCTCTCCTCAATTGTGTTCTTTTCGGACCAAAATTTCGGTGAGGCTATTGCCAAATTGCCCGTTCCCCCCCTTCCCCCCCCTTCCCTCCCTTCCCCCCCTTCCCCCATCCTTTTTTCCCTCAGATTGTGCAGATGTTGTTCTTGCTGGGACCTTTGTCCCGCTCCTGTCGCGTTCGGATGGTTCGGATTGCGGACCGGACAGTGTCACACAGTACCGGGCTGTCCTCGCCTGTTTCAAAGGTCGTGCCTCACGAAAGTTCGCCAGAATGACCTCGTCGTCCTTGGCATGATGGTACCAAGTCATCGCCTCCTCTTCGGGGTCTTCCTCGTCAGGCTCCGCCTGAAACACATCCTCACCTGACTCTTCCAGAAGGTAGCTTCCGGCATCCTCCTTGCGCCGACGGTGCTCGGCATCACGCTGCGCCAGACTCCCTCCAGACCACATCGTGTTGAGTGAGCTGAGCATGGCTCGCCGCCTTCCTTTCACATTGGCAGTGTCAGGCGGGTCCAACTTCATGAAGACATGCAAAGCGTGGCATCACTCACGTAGTGTCACGAAGACATGTGGCGTCACGCGGCGTCGCGGTCACGTGGCGCCATCGGACGTGGAGTCAAAACGCGGCGTCACGGCACGACGGCACATAGCCTCAACGGAATTCGCACCACCGCCTTTGAATAAATTAGATGTCCTGAACAATGAAACGCTTAGAAGCCCTGTCAAGTTGTTCGCGCCAGCTTTTGTAGGTGATTTGACCATGTAATGTTCTTATCTTTGAGTGATTCCTTGACTATTCCTCAAGACGACAGCCGACAGCCACATGTACGTGAATTGCAGAAGCCCCGCGTTCCAAACTCTTGAACTCCCAAACTCCCAAACTCCACAAGTTTGCGGCCTCGAATCACCCAAATTCCGAAATCCCAAACTCCAAAAGTTTAGGCCAAGCACTTCCAAAAGTGAAGAAGACTTCGAAGTTTGGAGTTTTGGAAGTGCGGGGATTATGGAATTTTGGAATGTGGAAATTTTGGAATTCGCCTTTAACTGTTGGAAGCTAGGCCGCATGTACAAGCCTCGCACTTTTAAACTACAACATCCTGCCTCCAAAAAATGGTTGGAGGCTTCAAATTCCAACATTTTTAGGCCCAGAATTCGCAACTCCACGTTCCAGAACTCCAAAGTTCCAAAATTTGGAGTTTTGGAGTTTTGCATTCTGGGTATGTAGATTATGGAATCTTGGAATTTGGTATTTTGGACTTGGCCCACATCTTTTGGAGTTTGCCTTATCTAGTTCATTCTACAACGCAAAATACACGTGGGGTGCATGAGGGGGTAGCGTATGTATGTATGCATGCATGCATGCATGTATGTATAGACTGTATAGACATAGATATGTAGTGTACCACCTCAGTATTTGCTCACAGTTGAACAGCTCGTCGGAGACTCGGCATCCTTGAGTCATTTCAGTGAATTTCAGTGTCCTCTTTTGGCAGGAATCCAACCCTCCAAAATCTTTGAGAGCTGAGCATTTGTTCAAGCTCAACGAGGCCAGTAGCAGCTTCCAGTGCCTTAGCACCATCGAGCTGGCGTCGTGCGCTGGAACCAGGCTGTTTTCAATTTGTCTGAAGAAGACGCAGTGGACGGGCCTCTGGCAGTGAAGTTGTTTCAGGCACAAAGTTGGTAGCCCTGCTGCATGTCGCCAGCACATAGCAGCGTGCAGGGTCTTAAAGAACACCGAAGCTGAACCTCTGCGCTTCCAGGCTGTCGAACGGATCCACACTGCATACAACACGGGCAAGCATTTGCCTCAGCGAATCTGGGACAACCAGCTTGTAGTGAACAGCAACTTCCTCACGGACATCAGTGCAGGTATGATAACCAGGATTCCAACTTCTTCTACGACTACTTGGCGCTGCTGGGAACCATGCAGCCTGCTCCTTTAGATACCAAGCTTGTGGCAGTGCTTTGGCCTTGCACCAGACTTCAGGAACCAGCATTTCTTCAGCCAGAAGCAGACAGAGAAGATGCTCGGATGGATCAAGGAGGCTCGGACATGAAGGACTGCATGAATGCAGCCAGAAGTTGTCTGCGATGCTTGAGTTGTGGCATGCCGGGACTTGCCCCTTACGTTGCGGTACGCAGGTAGTTGATGGAAGCGGGATGCTGGGGGAGTCAACAGACTCGAAAAGCCTGGAGGTGTGACATGACGTGGCACAGTGTGGCACAGTGTGGCACAGTGTGGCGCAGTGTGGCGCAGTGTGGCGCAGTGTGGCGCAGTGTGGCACAGTGTGGCATGCTTCACTCCGTTTTGTACTGAAGCAGCTCTCGAAGTTCGCGAGAGTGCACAACAGGTGGAGAATGAGAAGCTTAGAAAGAAGCTCGCGAAGTACGAGGCAGCTTTTTTGGCTCAGTTGAAGTGCTTTTTGCCGCCTGACCATGTCTCTTCCTCACCGCCTACATCCTCACTCCTAAACCCGAAATCTCGGAACAAACACGACAACACAGAAGACAAGGAAGCAAACGCGAACAACAAAACTGGCTCGTTTCTTGCTACGAAGACGACGACGAGCACGACGACGACTACTGCTACCGCTACTGCTACTGCTGCTGGTACTGCTACTGCTGCTACTACTACTACTACTTCTACTACTACTACTACTACTACTACTACTACTACTAGTACTAGTACTAGTACTAGTACAAGTACTAGTACTAGTACTAGTACTAGTACTAGTACTAGTACTAGTACTAGTACTAGTACTAGTACTAGTACTACTACTACTACTACTACTACTACTACTACTACTACTACTACTACTACTACTACTACTACTGCTACTTCTACTGCTACTTCTGCTACTACCGCACGGGGCGTTAACCGTCGTGCGTTTTTTTGCAAATAAGCATTTGGCCTAGGCGGGAGCACGATTTTGAACGTGGTTTTAGTCCAAAAAAAAGTGCAAGTGTCAGAGGTCCTTTTGTGAAAACCATGGCAGGCGTGGTACTTTCGGTGATCGCGCATGCCTTTTTTTCGTGTCTTGTTTTGAAGGTGGCTCGCAGGCCGAAAACACTGCGCATGCCGATGTTTTCGTGGTTTCACGGTTCAAAAGCGTGGTTTTTCGAAAACCCCCCATGTTTGTGTGTTTTTGGTGTTATTTCGCTTGCATGCGCCGCTTCAATGCAAAACACTGTTGCCCGTAAAACAATATCGTAAAAATTTGGGCTAATGGGAATAGGGCTTACCCCTTCCCTGAATGCTTTGTGGTCCACGGTTCTTCTTGGCCGTGTGCGAAGCACCAGGAAACGGGGGGGCGGGGAGCAGGCTTCAGGGACTTTGGTGAAGAGCTAAGGGATTTGTGCTGGTCGGCCTCTTGGGGGGTTTGAGGTTTAGGGTTCAGGGGTCTGAGTATAGGATTGACGAGTGTCTTCTGCCGGGCTAGAGGAAGAATTCAGGAGTTAAGAATGGCACTGGAAAGCTTGTTTGGCGCACGTCCGTCTGGTCACAAGCTGGCCAAGTAATGGCCGTGCTGCAAAGCAAATCTCCCATCGGGATTCGGCACTCCCGCAAGGTGTTCGGGATACTTTTCTTCAAGATACTCCAAAAGTCCGACAGGAATCAACCCCTCGTGTATTCACATGTACCAGCTTTCGGTGGCCACTTTCACCTTCAGGGAGAAAATGCCTGGACTTGACCTGTTGTGCATGCATGCGTCGCAGTTACACGTGGACACTCAAGAAGAACCGATGCTACTATGACCCCCCCCAACCCCCGACCCCCCCAACCCCCACCCACCACCCCCCCACCCTCCCCACCCCCCCACTCCCCCCACACCCCCCCACCCTCCCCACCCCCCCACCCTCCCCACCCCCCCCCCCCCCCCCCCACTCCCCCCACACCCCCCCAAAGCCCCCTTATACCCGAACACTGTAAATACCGATGTTTTCCTCCTGCGCCTAAAGTAGTTGAAAGTAGTTTCCGGAAATTTTTACACGTCGATTTTTCGTGTCCGTAAACGGACAAAGCCAGGAAACACTGTAAATACCGAGGTTTTCGTCTCTTAACACGAAAATGGCATGCCACAAAACCCCTGCGATCAATTAAGAACGTGACGCCTAGTAGTAGTAGTAGTAGTAGTAGTAGTAGTAGTAGTAGTAGTAGTAGTAGTAGTAGTAGTAGTAGTAGTATTAGTATTAGTAGTAGTAGTAGTAGTAGTAGTAGTAGTAGTAGTAGTAGTAGTAGTAGTAGTAGTAGTAGTAGTAGTAGTAGTAGTAGTAGTAGTATTAGTAGTAGTAGTAGTAGTAGTAGTAGTAGTAGTAGTAGTAGTAGTAGTAGTAGTAGTAGTAGTAGTAGTAGTAGTAGTAGTAGTAGTAGTAGTAGTAGTAGTAGTAGTAGTAGTAGTAGTAGTACTACGACGACTACTACGACTACACCCCCCCTTACCAATTACCTTGAACTTGAACGTAATGCAAGTGCAAATTTGGTGGCAGGCGTGCCCCCCCTTACCAAGTACGTTGCACTTCATGCAAGTGCAAGTTTAGTGCAGGCGCGGTGCTTCATCCGGATTTGGTTCGGAAGCAAATCTGCTCATCTTGGACAGCTTCGGGTTTGTTTTGTTTGTTTGGTCTGCAGATTTAGGGTTGGGGCTTGCACTGGTAACATGGACGTAATCATCGTGCATGGATTCTCTGGCTCGCACAGGCTGGTATTCAAGGTAGTTGGCAAGGGGTGGCGGGGTGCCTACTACTGCCAGGTTTGGCGGCCTGTATGTTGTGGGTCCAAAAGTCGAGTTTTCAGCTCATTCATGATTTCCGGGCTTCCAGAAACTACTTGTCTCAGGAGTAGTATTGTTTGAGCTGTTGAGGCTTGAGGTTTTGGTTGCAGGGATACATGCCTGGGAGGTTTTAAGGCTTGAGGCTTGTGTTCTTTGATTATGACTATGATTCTTCTCATAGATATGTCATGATGAATATGGTGATTATGATCGATGTTATAGTATCATTACTATGATGACCTGTATGTTGTCATTGTTATGATGATGGTGAACCCAAAGGCCGGGTAAGGAGCGGGGAACGGGCTTTCAGGCTTTGGGCTTGCACTGCTGTTGTCCCCCTTTCCCCCCTTTCCCCCCTTTCCCCCCCTTTCCCCCCTTTCCCCCCTTTTTCCCGCCTTATCCCCCCTTTCCCCCTTTCCCCCCTTCCCCCTTTCCCCCCTTTCCCCCCTTCCCCCCTTTCCCCCCTTTCCCCCCTTTCCCCCTTTCCCCTTTCATCCACCCGTTCCCCCCTTTCGCCCCCTTTCCCGCCCTTGTCCTCCCCCCTTTCCCCCTTTCCCCCTTTCCCCCCCTTTCCCCCCTTCCCCCCTTTCCCCCCTTTAACCCCCGTTCCTCCCCCCTTTTCCCCCCTTCCCCCCTTTCCCCCCTTGCCCCCCTTTCCCCCCTTTCCCCCGCTTTTCCCCCCTTGCCCCGCCTCCCCGCTTTCCCCCTTTCCCCCCCCCTTTCCCCCCCGTTTGCCCCCCTTTCCCCCCTTGCCCCCCTTTCCCCCCTTTCCGCCCCTTTCCCCCTTTTCCCCCTGTCCCCCCGTTCCCCCCTTCCCCCTTTCCCCCCTTCCCCCCTTTCCCCCCCCTTTCCCCCCTTTCCCCCCTTTTCCACCTTCCCCCCTTTCCCCCCTTTCCCCCTTTCCTCCCCTTTCCCCCCTTTCCCCCCTTTCCCCCCCCTTTCCCCCCTTTCCCCCCTTTCCCCTTTCCCCCCGTTCCCACCTTTCCCCCCTTGTTCCCCCCCTTTTCCCACCCCCGTCCCCCCTTTCCCCCCTTTCCCCCCTTTCCCCCCTATGTCCCCCCGTTACCCCCGTTCCCCCCTTTCCCCCCTTTCCCCCCTTGTCCCCGCCGTTCCCCCCTGTCCCTCTTTTCCCCCTTTCCCCCCGTTTCCCCCCTTGCCCCCCTTCCCCCCTTTCCGCCCCCCTTGTTCCCCCTCTTTCCCCCCCCTTTCCTTCCCCCTTTCCCCTTTCCCCCCTTTCCTCCCTTTCCCCCCGTTCCCCCCTTTCCCCCCTTTCCCCCTCTATTCCCGCACTTTCCCCCCTTTTCCCCCCGTTTCCCCCCTTCCTCTTTCCCCCCTTTCCCCCCTTTCCCCCCCTTTTCCCCCGTTTCCCCCTCTTTCCCCCTTTTCCCCCCTTTCCCCCGTTCCCCTTTCCCCCCTTTCCCCCCCTTTCCCCCCTTTTTTTGTTTTTAAACCCCGCTTTTTCCCCCCTGTTCCCCCCGGCCCCCCTTTCCTCCCCTTCCCCTCCCCCCTTTTCCCCCCCTTTCCCCCTTGCCCCCCGTTCCCCCCTTCCCCCCTTTCCCCTTTCCCCCCTTTCCCCCTTTCCCCCCTTGTCACCTCCCCTTTCCCCCCTGTCGCCCCCTTTCCCCCCTTGTCAACGCACCCGGTTTGCCCTTTTTGCCCTCCGTTTCCCCCCCCTTTCCCCCCTTTCCCCCTTTGTCCCCCCGTTCCCCCCTTTCCCCCCGGGTCCCCCCGTTCCCCCCTTTCCCCATCCCCCTTCCCCCTTTCCCCCCCTGGCCCCCCTTTCCCCCTTTCCCCCCTTTCCCCCCCGTCCCCCCTTCCCCCCTTTCCCCCTTCCCCCCTGTCCCCCCCGTGCCTTCCCCCCCTTTCCCCCTTTCCCCCCTTGTCCCCCCTTGCCCCCCTTCCCCCCTTTCCCTCCCCCGTTCCCCCCTTTCCCCCGTTCCCCCCTTTCCCCCTTTCCTTCCCCCCTTTCCCTCCCCCTTGCCCCCTTCCCCCTGTCCCCCTTTCCCCCTTTCCCTCCCCCGTTCCCCCTTGCCCCCCTGGCCCCCCCTGGCCCCCCCCTTTCCCTCCCCTTGCCCCCCTTTTCCCCCCTGCCCCCTTTCCCCCTTCCCCCCTTTCCCCCCCCCTGTGCCCCCTTTCCCCTTCCCCCCCTTTCCCCCTTTCCCTCCCCCCCCTTTCCCCCCTTCCCCCCTATTCCTCCCCCCCTTTCCCCCCGGTCCCCCGTGCCCCCCCTTGCCCCCTTGCCCCCCCTTTTCCTCCCCCCCTTGTCCTCCCCCCGTGCCCCCCGGGCCCCCCGTTCCCCCCCCCTGTCCCCCCGTTCCCCCTGTCCCCCTGGCCCCCCTTGTCCCCCCTTTCCCCCCTTTAGCCCCCCGGTCCCCCGTGTCCCCCCTTGTCCCCCCCTGGCCCTTCCCCCCGTTCCCCGTGCCGCCCCCCCCGGTCCCCCCATGTCCCCCCTGGCCCCCCGGTCCCCCTTGCCCCCCCGTTCCCCCCTGGCCCCCCTTTCCGGCCCGCCCTTCCCCCCCCCCCTGGTTCCCCCCTCTTGTCCCCCACCGTGCCCCCGTTGCCCCCCCCTGGCCCCCTCGCCCCCCGGGTCCCGCCCCTGGGCCCCCCGGGCCCCCCGTCCCCCCGTGCCGCCCCCGGGCCCCCCGGCACCCCCCCCGGGCCTCCCCCCGGCCCCCCGTCGGCCCCCCGGTCCCCCCTGGCCACCCCCCTTAGCCCCCCGGCCCCCCGGTGCCCCCCGTTCCGGGTCCCCCCTTCATCCCCCCTTGCCCTTCCCCCCGTGCCCACCGGTCCTCCACCCCCTTGCCCCCCTTTCCCCCCGTGCCCCCCCGGGCCCCTCCTGGGCCCCCCCCTGAGCCCCCCTGGCCCTCCCGGGCCCCCCCGTGCCCCCCTTTGGGCCCCCCCTGGCCCCCCGTTCCCCCCCCGGGCCCCCCCGTCCTCCCCCGTGCCCCCCTTTCCCCCCGGGCCCCCCGGCCCACCCTTTCCCCCCTTGCCCCCCTTTCTCCCCCCTGTCCCCCTTTCTCCCCCCCCCGTGCCCCGCCCCCCGGGCCCCCCTTGCCCCCCGGGCCCCCCTTGCCCCCGCCCCCCGGGCCCCACTGTCCCCCCGGCCCCCCCTTTCCCCCCGTCCCCCCTTGCCCCCCGGGCCCCCGGGCTTTCCCCCCTGTCCCCGCCCCCCCCCCTTTCCCCCCCTTGGCCCCCCGGGCCCCCCCCGTTCCCCCCGGGCCCCCCGTCCCCCCCGCCCCCCGCCCCCCCGGGCGCCCCGCCCCTTCCCCCCCTCCCAGAACCCAGAAAGCACAACCTTAACAACGAACAATGCCCGCAAGCTGCTGCGAAATGTGCGAAATGTGCGAAAACCCAGGTAAACGGACACAGACAGTCGAGAAATGAGGAACTTTCATGCTACGAGTTTCTCCGACGCATGCTGTACTGGCACAACATGGCGCATTCCAGGACCTGCGTCGAGTCGAGCATTGCAGAGAGCAGCAGGTTGACTGGACCACAGATGGACCACAAGTAGATCACTCCTGATCACTCCCTGCATCGCTACTGAGCTCTCCGCTTCACGCAGCGGAAGCGCCATACTGTAACTTGCCACAGCTTGCGCGCCTTTTCCTGGGACTAACAGTGATTAACAGGGGTCCAAAGCAAGTCCGAGTCAGCCGGGTCAACTTGTTTGGGAAGGCTGTGAGAAGAGAAAAGTTGGGTTTGCAATGAACAGTCTAGCCGTTCAGTCCGCACCTTTGCCTGCGTCTTCCAATGCCTGAAACACAAAATGTGTTGGGTGCTCAGGTTCTGTTGCAAATGTACGACCCGAGGCATCCCCTCGACAGTACAAACAATAGTGAAGAGGAGGCCAGCAGCACGTTGCCTCATAGAATCATATCAACATGATTCGGGCAACGGGTGCAAAAGGCCCTGTCGAAACCCCCGTAACACCGTAACACCCCGCACCTGACATCGCCTTCATGTCGACACCATCTCTTGCTTTCAATATGCACTTGTAGAGCGTGGCATCTGCTCAGGGGATGGTTCAGACCTTGAAGAGCATCGAGACGGTCTGGGGCTCTGCCTCGCCGCAAATCTTGTTCGGCGCGTGCTCAGTGCTCTCTTTTCCTAAGTTTTTTGGTGTTCTGGTGTTCTATCCAATTGCTTTTGCTCCTCCTTTGGCTTTCGTCACCACTTCTTTGTTCCCACCCCGTCTCTTTCTGTTTAACTGCAAAAGCAGAGGAGCCAAAGTCCAAGGCAAAGCCCAAGAAGAAAGAGCCCGAGGAGATCGCTCTTTCCCTAGTTTGTGCTGATTTCGCAGTTAGCAAGAAGTTCGCAATGTTCTGCAGAAAGCTATGCGCGCTGCTATGCTATGCTATGCAATATGCTGTGCAATGTGCTGTGCAACATGCTGTGCAACATGCTGTGCAATGAGCTCCGTTCTTCTTTGTAGGAGCCACCGAAGCCACAAGGACTGATGCCGTACAACTTCGAGACCGCGATGCCTCTTTTCAGGTTGTTGACATGATTTGACATGTTCAATTCTGAGAGGAAAAACCAAAGGAAAAGCCAAAGCAAAGGGCAAGAGTGGCCCCCTGTCGCCCAAGAGAAGTCAACGTACGGAAGCCACGAACTCCAAGCAAGTGTTGTAAATTGAGAGCTTGAAGCAGGGAACTTCTTTGCCGCTCTTCCCTAGGCAAATATTCGGAGTATGAGGAGGAGGAGGAGGAGCTGCACGATGCGCGCCACGATGCGCGCCGCGATGCGCGCCGCGCATCGATGCGCGCCTCTGCATGCACGTGTTGCTTTTGGCGACATTGCAGGAGCCCGTCCCCAAGGGCAAGGGGAAGGGCAAGGGAAGCAAAAAGGAAGGACTCAAGGAGGGGAAGGAAGGCAAAGATGGTGGCAAAGGTAAAGAGAAGACACCAGAGAAGGGGAAAGGGAAAGGCCTGAGAGATTGTTTTTTAGGTCGCGCTTCTCCGCTGTGCTCCCGCTGTGCCCCGCTGTGCTGCGCTCTGCGCTATGCTTTGTACAACATGTGCTCTCCCTTTGCAAACCCGTTCCTTTGAGGAAAAGGAAAGGCGGTCGAGTACGAGTACGAGCCGGTCGTAAAGGGGAAGGCGAAAGCATTGAAAGGTGCAAAAGGCAAGGGTAAAGGCAAGTCCAAGGATGATGAGCCCCCTCCCTTGCGGCCTGGAGCTCAGAACGCCACGGAACCGGCGTCTGCGTGACACTGACACTGACACTGGAAGGGCCAGCAAGGGAAAAGGAAAGGGAAAGGAAGAGGAAGCCAAAGGCAAGGGTAAAGCAAAAGATGCGAAAGGAAAAGGCAAGAGCAAGGCTCACACACTCCTCTCAGTTGTGCTATCATTCCACCTTTGCACTATGTCTTTTGCAGCTGCAGTGGCAGGGCTACAAAGGCAAATGAAAGCTCTATGACTCTATGTGGGTTCGGCTTTCAGCGCTGAGCTGCAGAGGCAGCGTAGGGCAAGCTTTTCATATAAAATGTTCGATCTTTGCCTAGGATGTGGGGGTCAGATCGCAATTTCGTTCCCTGCCCCGCAAAGAGGTGAGCTGAGCTGAGCTTCAGCAGGCTGAGCTTTAGCAGGCTCCAGCCTGTCGAAGCATGCCTATGGCAGCGGAGCAAATGCGAAGAGAGCCACAGAGCAAGAGAGCAAGGCTCTCTCCGATGCAATGCATCATGTAGGTCAATGTAGGTAATGCGCAATGCCCGCACAGTGGCTTGAAACAACCCTTAGAGTTCACTGAGCAGCTTCATTCCTTGGACACAGCTCTCACAACTCACAGCTCTCTGTTTCACAGCTCTCTGGAGCAGCGCTCAGCTGCTGTTCGAGTCACAATTCGAGAGAGTCTCGAAAGAGGATTCGGGGCACGGAAAGCGCCCAACGCGCCAAAGCGCCCCCGAGTCTCTCTCGAAAAGCACTCCACAAGTCTCCCAACCCAAAAGAGTAAAAAGAGTGAGGTAGAGTGAGGTAGAAAGCGAGAGAGAGCAAAGTGTGTCAGCAAGCGTAAATCACAAACAAGTGAACAACCGCATTCGTGCGCAGTATTCCGTATTCGACTTCAGCTATCGGAAAGGGGAACGACACCGAGAACTGCTCTCATCTGCTCTCATCTGCTCTCTTTCTCTTTTCTGCTTCTGTGTGAGTCGAGATGTGGAAAGGGAGGTTCTTTGTGCGAAGAGTCTGCGAAGAGTCCGCGAAGAGCTTGCGCTTTCAAAAGAACCTCGGAATCACTGAGCTTTCTCCTCTCCATGAAAACTATAAAAAGCGACAACAACGAGAGACAGAGAGAGAGTATGGGAGCATATGGAGAGTGAAAAGCAGACTGAGAGATCTTCTTACGCAGAAGCGTGTGCTCTTCTCTTCGCCAAAAAGCGCATTACACAGAGAGCTTCTCACGACAGTGTGCTCAGTGCGCTCAGTGCACCCTGTGCACTCAGTGCACTCGATGCGTCTTAGTGAAAGCACTCGTCTGCGCTTTCAGTGCGGCCTTTGAGTGGCCTTTATGCCTGAGACGGTTGCCGAGACGTGACAGCGCTCCGCTCCCAGCTGCCCAGCTGCGTAACGGAAAATTCGTTGCCTTCTTTGGCTCCGCTGAGTTTAGGACAATAACCACGTGACCATGCATTGAGAGCGCAGCTCGCAGCTCGTGAGCTAGCTGGGCTAGCTGGCCTTGTGAGAACTCCTGAGAACGCAACTCTGCGCGCGCTTTTCCTCTCAAAAAGAGAAGCGGGGACAGAATGCGGCACCAGGCCGCCTCTAGGGCCTCTGCTGCGGTGCACCGCTGAGAACAGCCCGGGCCTCAACTGGTTTTGCGGCTCCTAAGAATTTGCGGATTCAGAGCAATGAGCAAGTCTTCTGAGAGTCGGATGTTTCGCGCCCGGCTTTTTTCACACTCGTGGCACGAATCGCCCCTAACTTGTTCGTGTGCCTTAAAGCGAAGCACCTGTAGTCGAGACTCAATACGCAGCCATATGGAGAGGGGGGGACGCGTCCCCTTTGTGGGGCGGGGGGGTTGAGATACCAACTACTTGTCCTTGTCGCGTCTCTCTTGAGTCTTGAATTTTGCGTCTCGCCGGAGTGTTCTCTTCAGCGAAGGCTCGGTCAAGAGTCCACACCCAGGGATCCGCGGGTACAGCCGGTTACGCTCTGCCAGACACTGGTCGAGCGAAACAAATCGGCCTGAAACTCGATCTGAGCAGACCATAGCAGACCATAGCAGACCAGCTGATGTCACCCGGAAAAAGCGGTCGGGCTGGGAGCCGACACTTCGAAGACATGGATTGCAGTTGCACAGTTGCAGCCTTTGCAGTGTCTCATTTCACCCAGCTGAGTCTCTTTGGAGCTGCGCGCATGCCGCTCTCTTTTTCTTGGAAGGATCAAAGACCCGAGCGAATCACCCTGGTTGAAAGCACGAAGATGTTGACCAAACTCCCGTTCTTGGACAGCCCCGTCCACGAGTCATCACGAGCTGTTGGTCGCCGTTATCGAGTCTTGATGCTCAAGACTTCGGTGGCGGTGGCGGTGGGTTTCTCTTCGAGATGCAGGCAGCTACTCTCTATGTTCGCAAAGGTACCATACAAAGTTTCTAGAATCGCGCACTAGAACGGATCGAACTTGACACATGGTATGATCGATATGTTGAGCTTCGATCGGTCTTTCGTTAAACCACTCTACCAAATCTGCCCCACGAACTCATGAGAACCTTCAGCTGCTGCTGGCCGTCTGGACCGGACCTCGGCAGAAGGCGATGATCGGGCGACCCGGGGCAGTTTTCTGTTTTGCCAACATATGGGAGATGGTGACTTGGCCTTGCAAGACCCTATCAGCCAACATGGTAAGCGGCGTAAGCGTGCCAGCCTGTGGCTACTGAGTACTGAGATCTTTGCGGCATGACTGGCGCAGAATGTGACAAGTACAGAACCTTCTAGCGTCGCCGCGCAGCAAGTGAAAGAAGAAGATTTCGGTTCTGCCACGACAAGGTTGGGGCCTCACGTTTCAGGAACAAAAGGTCGGGGTCCATGAACCCTTTGACGATCAGCTTTAGGCTTTTGACCGACGCACCGCGCCTGCCTCATTTTCCGATAGTGAGCACCCATCGGCTGGAAGTCGCATGCCTCCATGCGCCCTCACCTGGATGCTCATGCTGCAGGGACCCTGGCTGGCGCTGTGCCCAGTGGTTATTGCCGCACACATGGCTTGGACCATTGCTCCGTTTGCGGGATGCTTGTTGCGGCACGCTACAATGGCACTCATTGCCGTTGCCGGCCGGCTGCTCGGGAGGCTGTGCTGCCGCCGCCGGCTGCACCCCTTGCCCCTGCCAATGGCCGTGATACCTTGCCTGACCTTGCCACCATTTTCTCTGCTGACATCCCTGTCCTGCGCCATGTGCCCAAAGCCGCCCGGGGCGTGTGGGCCCAGTGTTTGGCCCGGGCTCTGAGCAATGTCGCTACCACCAACTCCCTCCTCGCTTGGCGCGAACTCCTCATGCTCCCAAAGGCCGTCCTCCAGCCTGCCCCACGAGGAGGCGCTCGGCGCCGTGACCAGGCAGCCCGCTTCACCCAGCGTTGCTGTTCCAGGTGGTTGGAAGGAGAACGTGAGGAGCTTTGGCACGCTGCCCCTGCTCGGCGGCGCAGGGAATCCCTTGACGAGGAGGATGCGGCTTCGGCCCTTGCCCGCAGACATGCTCGTTGTGTTGCTCTTGCAGGTGAGGGCGACCTTTCCCGTGCCTGCGCGGCTCTCTTGGATCCCCCGCCGCTCGCAAATTCGGCCGAGGTCACTGCTGCGCTCCGGGACAAACACCCGCGAGCCTCCCCAGCCCGTCCCAGTTTGCAGTCTTTGGGAGCCCCGTCCAAGGTGGATGTGCCAGAAATCTCTTTAGAAACTGTGGTAAAGGCAGCCCGGGGCTTCAAGCGCGGCAGCGCCCCTGGCCCGACTGGTCTTCGAGGGGATCACATCCGAGAGGCCTTGTCCTCGGTCCACTCCGACGAGGTTGCGGCACACCTCACCGAAGTGGTCCGTCTCCTCGTACGGGGAGAGGCCCCCCTTGCACTCGCTCCCCACCTTGCAGGAGCCACCCTTCACGCTCTTCCCAAAGGGGCCGGTGACCTTCGGCCCATCGCTGTCGGCGAAACCTGGCGCCGCCTTGCCGGCAAGTGTCTCTGCAGCACATTGCGTGAGCCAGCCGCCCAGCACCTTTGGCCGCTCCAGGTTGGTGTGGCTGTGCCCCTCGGTGCGGAGGCTGCCATCCACACTGCCAGGCAGTGGATGCAGCGCAACACTGGTCATGTCGATAAGTGCTTTCTGCAGGTTGATTTCCGCAATGCCTTCAACACTGTTGATCGTGCTGCGATGCTTCGGCAGGTCCGCCTGCATATGCCGGGTCTCTCGCCATGGGCCGAGTGGTGCTACGACCACCATTCCCGGCTTCTCTTCCACCACTCCCCCCTCTCCTCGGAAGCTGGAGTCCAACAAGGCGACCCACTCGGCCCTCTCTTGTTTGCACTGGCCTTGCACCCGGCTCTCCAGGCCGCTGCGGCCGGCGGTTCGGGGCAGAAGCCTGAACTTGCCTTTGCTTTCCTGGATGACAGTTACCTTGCTGGCGGGTCCAAGCAGGTCGCTGCAGGCCTGGCCCGCCTTACCGCCGCCAGCCGCCAGGTTGGCCTGGAGCTCAACCCTAGCAAGTGTGTCCTTACCTACTGCGCCGGCGCGGACAGTGCTGTTGACAAGCGGGCCTTCCCGGACGGGGTGCAGGTCAGCCAGCACGGGGCTATGAACCTTCTTGGCGCTCCTATTGGGCCTGCGGCTTACACTGAAGCCTACACCCATGCCAAGCGCGTCGACAAGGCGAAGCCCCTCTTGGAAGCATTGAGTGAGCTCCCTGACCCGCAAACAGGGCTCTTGCTGCTGCGTCACTGTGCTGCCTTCAGCCGGATGGTTTTTGCCATGCGTGTCACGCCCCCACAGCTTCTTGGCGAGGCCGCAGTTGATTTTGATGCAGCTGTTCGTGCCTGCTTGGAACGCTTTTGCACGGGGCCTTTGCCTGCCGAAGCCTGGCTGCAAGCCTCCCTCTCCACGGCCGCCGGCGGGCTTGGCTTGCGGCACGTTGCCCGACACGCCGCTGCTGCCTACGTCGCCTCCCTCAGTGCTGCGCTGCCGCGCTGCTGTGGCTTGGACCCTGGCTACACCGCCGCCTGGCCACTCTTCGACGCTGCCACTGCCCTCCACAACCAGCTCGTGCTGCCCGCCGACCATGTCCCGGTCCCTGCGCCGCCTTCTACCCGACAACAATCGTTGTCGCAGGCGCTGGATCGCGCTGTGATCGAGCAGCTCCTTGTCCCCGGCGCCGGCCGTGAAGCCTTCCGTGCCAACCTGCAACTCCAACGGCAGCCGCATGCCGGGGCGTGGCTCCATGCTGCGCCTTGTGAGGCGCTCGGCCTTGACATTGCTCCGGCCCTGTTCCGCGTCCTCATCAAGCTCCGTCTTCGCCTCCCGGTCGCTGCAGCCGATGTGGCCTGCCCCTCTGCGACGGAGTCGCTGACAGCTTCGGTGATCACGCGCTCAGCTGCCCCTGCGGCGGGGACCGGACCAAGCGACACAACCGCTTGCGCTCCGTGCTGGCGGCCCGTGCGCAAGCTGCTGGCCTTCATCCCGAGGTCGAAAGGCCCGGTCTTCTGCCGCCCCGGTCCGACCAGGATGGCCTGCCAGAAGATGCGCGGGACCGCAATGGCCGCCGTCCGGCGGACATTTACCTTCCAAACTGGGGGGTCCATGGGCCCGTTGCCTTCGACCTTGCCGTCACCACTGGGCTGCGCTCGGGCAGTCTCCACACCTTGCTCTCGGACACTGACCGGCCTGTGACCGACTATGAAGCCCACAAACGCTCTCACCTGCAAACGCAGGAACTGTGCAGTGCCCAGGGCATCCAATTCGTCCCTTTGGTCGTCGAGAGCCGTGGGGGGTGGGGGCCTGCTGCCATCAAAACTTGGCGGACCCTCGCTGCGGCCACAGCGGCTTGCTCCGGGGAGGGTCTTGCCGCTGAAACCAAACGGCTGTATGAGACACTAGCCGTGGCACTGCAACGCGAGAATGCCCGAGCTGTGCTCCGCCGCCAGCCCGAGCCTGCACACGCGCCCGGGCCCGGGGCCCGGTTTGTGTCACCTTGATCCTTCGTCCTGGCCTCCGCTTGCGTCTGTCAAGCTCCCCCCTGCAGCTGATGGCGCTGCGATGCATGCTCACATCTGGTTGAGGCCTGTGCCCCGGGCGTCTCAACGTTGTGCCGCTTGCCAGACCATCAGCCATTCGGCCAATGCCCGGTGTGCAACAGCCTTCACTCTGCACCTGCCAGAAAGGAACGCAGCATGACCTGAAGCATTCTTTGCTTGTAGGCTCGTTCCCGCATTGCCCTCAGAAGCAGGGATTCGTCGGGTTTTCGAAGCCCTAGGGTACGGCATTCAAACCACGCAGAGTGACACTACCCTTGTAAGGAAGAATCTTCATTCCTCTTTTTTTTGGGGGGGATCTCAAGGCAGTCTCCCATATATTCTTTCCGATTGCAATGCCAGCACCCATCGAAGCGGCATCACCGACTTGGGGAATCTTGGGGATTGTTTTAACACATCTCGTGCCAACACGCGATCTCGACGGCTTCCCTTTCTACGACCCCACCTCGGTCCTCATGGTATATGGCCACATTTCCAACGTTGTCCATGCACCGTCCATGCACCCTCAGCAGCTTGGGGTTTGGTCCAACGCCCCATGCGGTACCAGCAGTTGGGTTTGCTTCACGCCACCCTTCGCTAGCAGAAGCGGCCTGAGCCATAATTTTCCTCGAGCGAGGTCGCCTCCTGTCAAGCAATCCACTCTAGCGAGGTCTTCTCCGAAGGATTGCAATGTCCCTGTGCAAACTTTTGGCCTATGCAACTTCGTAGCAGGGTTCCCAGCTCAGAGTCTTACCGCTTCCATTCGCTAACGGTAGGATGTTGTTGATGCTGCCTGGTAGCCTTGTTTGTTAGGCCTTGAGTCTGGATGGCTCAGCTGAACCAGTAGTAATCCCCAAATGGGGCGGAACCTGGCAGCTTTGGACTGATGGCCAAACACTTAGTTGTCAGTAGTTTCTTGAAGCAGCCGCTTAAGCCATAAGCACCACTCTGGAGCTACTGCTTTTCCTTACATGCACAAAGAGTCGGCAATCCTCAGGGAGCGCGCCGTGATTTTGCAAGAGCTGGCTGTGTGCCTCTAGCGCAAATTCGACGCCAAGATGATCGCCCTGGAATAACGACCTGAAGCACGGGGTTAGGACCCCGTCATGCAAGTCTCTGGTCTCCCTGACTAACAAGGACGGCGGCTTGTGCGTAGGCTGACTTGGGTCGGTGACATTTCCTGAGTCGAGACGGGCAAGGGCAGCGCAGCCTTGGAGCTCGGCACGGGTGGAGCCAAAAGGGGTCGCATTGGAGGCAGCACGTGCCGATGACACACGACATTGGTGGTAGAAGTCCTTACGGTCACTGATGTAGCCACAGACACCCTCCTTTCGACGAGTCAGCTGCAGCGCGCAGAATTGCCATCCGGCCGGCAGAGCCTTTGACGGTCCAGACATGGAGAATTCAAGCGCGTTCGGAAGCCTACGGTCGCCTATTTGGCGGTCTCTTTGGAGGTCTTTGTACGCGTTAAAGACCTCAAGATGCAACAAACCCCGGGAATCCCACAGGCGACTCAACTCCAAGTAGTCCTCTCGCACCTCCTTGCCAAAGTCGGGCGTGTTGCTCAGATCAACCTCAAGGTTATGGCAAAGAATGGCAGGTTCGAGGTAAGGGAGCCAAAACTGGCCATCTAACCACGAGGCAGTGTCCCAGCTTCCCTGACCAACGATTTTCAGACGTGAGACATCAAGAGGCCTGTAGGGATGAAGTTGGGGCAAAGCCTCCGAATCTTCAGCTTTTGGCACGACCTTTGGCAGCGTCGTCAGCCGGCTCAGGCGCGGCCTCAGGGGGAGGAGAAGCCAACGGCCCAGGAAAGACCCGAAACGAGTCAGCGGGAGCCCCATAGCCCGAGCCATCAAGTTGAGAAGCAAGATGCTCGAGCTCGACAAGCGTGCAATGTAATTCAGTACCCAAACGGCCGGGGCAGGCGACAAACCTCTCCGGGCGGGAGTCACACGCCATCAGCATCCTCCAAAGTCGCACATGTGCGCGTCGCTGGTGGACGTTTGGATGCCTCCACAGCAAGGCAAGTGAGGAAGGTCTCCGAAAGTTGTCATGCAAGAAATTGAGCGCCATGACTAAGCAATGGAGGACCCTGCGGAGCCTCAACTGTTGCCACTCGGCTTTGGAGAGCCGCGGGCCGCTACTGCGAAAAGTGCCCAAGTGCGGGGCAGGCAGCGGAAAGATGGCGGAAGGTGGGGCGTTGCCGCACCGGCTGGCAGGCATCTTCAAAGTGGACGCCAAAAAGGCAGCAAAAGGAGTGCGCGAGCGCAAGATGAGGCGAGGCAAGGCCCCATTGAACTCGGAGGCACTCAGGTCCTCCTGTCGGCGGAAGGAGGGGTAGGCTGGCCCTGTGCGCTTAAAAAGGCGCCATTCCCCCCGGCCTTGTGCAAAAGAACATTGTCAGGTCTCAGGCCTGCGGTTGCCTCCGGGGCGGCTTTGCTGTCGTCGTATCGGCGGCACCTGTCTCGGAGCCACTGTTGGAAACCCTTCCCCTCGTCACATCGGCTCTGCGGCTCCCTATAGCATCTAGCTCTTTTAAATAGCCCAATACTATGGTGACCCACCGTTGCGAGGCAAGGGGAGCAAAGGGGCGAACTCGGAGATGTGCCGGGCCGGATCTTCCCGCGAACATGGCTATTGGAGGCTCTTCGAGCCGGGTAAGTAGGTAGCCAACGTCGAGGCGCCAGAGTCTAACGCCGCTTGTTCCAAACAGACTGCCAGGAGCGCAGTGTGGTCTTGCGCCTGGCCGGTGTTTCCCGCCTGGAGAGCATCCATGATCATCCCAACTTGAAAGGCGACCAACCCCAAATCCTTCGATTGGGAAAACCCCCCGAACCTTTCCCAGCACCTGGTGAGTGTGATGCCCTGCTGCAGCAACTGAGCGGGGTCCGACGACGAGCTGGCGGCGGGAGCCATCCTCCTGGACATGTTCTGGAGGACCTGCTGAAAGAAGATCCCCTTCCCTGAAGCAAGCTCCTCTTGCATTCTGGCCCTCTGGCCAGCTGATCTTACACTGGTTGAAGATCCGGTGCTGAGGCCCATATCTAGCATGCTGTCGTTCCCGGCCAATTGGGCAACCAGAGCAGTGAGGGCCTGGCTCTGGGCCAACACGGCCTGGGCCAAGACCCCGTCCCTACCAAATCCTCCTTGCTCTTCCTGCGCCTGCTTGGTCTCCAGCTCTGCAAAGCTTGGGGGGAGGCGCGGTGGAATTCACGAGCGCCCGGGGTTGTATACAGGTACCCACGAGGCCTAGGGTTGAGGGAATTAGGGTTCCTAGGCCCAGTGGCGCACAGGAACCAGCCACGGACCTGCCAGATTAAGAAGGCAACGCCAAATGCACCGGTAAGACAGCCAAGAAGGAAAGCAAGGATGATGGTGGAGAGACTGGGCTGGGTGCAGTAGAATGGGCAGGCGAGGCCAAAGAGCTGGCTCGAGAGGGCTTGGTGGCCAAACCGACTTAAACCAACCAACAGATCCATCAAGCTTGAGAAGGACGACAAAGTTTCAGCACACGCAGCTTACATGACACAGTTATCCCCGACTTAAATGCTCGGTCAGTTGAGAAGAAGAGCTAGCGCTTAAGACTATGGGCTGCTACTAGTCCTTGTCGGTTCGTAAAGTGCAAGGTGCAGTTTTTGCCTGCTGTACACGGACTTGATCAAAAAATCGTGTGAGGTCCCCTCCTGGTTAAAGTCCACCGTGTTGCAGCTAGTTTGTGCAGAGTGCAGTTTTGCCTGCTGTGCACGGGCCGGGTCACCATTGTACAGTTGATGAAAATTGACATCGTGCTTGTGAAACCGCGTGAGGTCTCCTCCTGGTCCACTGACCTCCGTGTTGCAGCTAGTCTAGCCCAGCTTTTGGCGACAGCTGCCTGGCAAGACAGTCATCAAAAGCGCTTTTCTTGTCCTGCTATTTGCATTCGTTTGCTAGAGGCTTTGCCCTACACACAGCGCTCAAGTTGACTTAGAATTAGCCGTCATTTCAAGTCATTCTACCCCTCGATGCCCGCCAAGGTGTGGGACATGACCCGCGCATGCGTCCGAAATGAAATGAAATAATGTTGTTGTTGTTGTTGTTGTTGTTGTTGTTGTTGTTGTTGTTGTTGTTGTTGTTGTTGTTGTTGTTGTTGTTGTTGTTGTTGTTGTTGTTGTTGTTGTTGTTGTTGTTGTTGTTGTTGTTGTGTTGTTGTTGTTGTTGTTGTTGTTGTTGTTGTTGTTGTTGTTGTTGTTGTTGTTGTTGTTGTTGTTGTTGTTGTTGTTGTTGTTGTTGTTGTTGTTGTTGTTGTTGTTGTTGTTGTTGTTGTTGTTGTTGTTGTTGTTGTTGCCTCGATGCCCGCCAAGGTGTGGGACATGACCCGCACATGCGTCCGAAATGAAATGAAAATGTTGTTGTTGTTGTTGTTGTTGTTGTTGTTGTTGTTGTTGTTGTTGTTGTTGTTGTTGTTGTTGTTGTTGTTGTTGTTGTTGTTGTTTTGTTGTTGTTTTGTTGTTGTTTGTTGTTGTTGTTGTTGTTGTTGTTGTTGTTGTTGTTGTTGTTGTTGTTGTTGTTGTTGTTGTTGTTGTTGTTGTTGTTGTTGTTGTTGTTTTGTTGTTGCTTTGTTGTTGTTTTGTTGTTGTTTTGTTGTTGTTTTGCTGTTGTTTTGTTGTTTTTTGTTGTTGTTGTTTGTTGCTTTGTTGTTGTTGTTGTTGTTGTTGTTGTTGTCGTTGTTGTCGTTGTTGTCGTTGTTGTCGTCGTTGTTGTTGTTGTTGTTGTTGTTGTTGTTGTTGTTGTTGTTGTTGTTGTTGTTGTTGCTGTTGTTGTTGTTGTTGTGGTGGTGGGTGCTTCTTGTGCTTGTGCCACAAGTGTCTCGAAGTTTCTTGGAGAGCCGGGCAGTAGCCCCCCATGTTGTATAGTTCTGCAGTCGGTTTGCTGCAGTCATGTATCATGTTGGCCATGTTTGTCTTGGCAGCACTTCCCTCATTGCCAGAACGTCACTGGGATGTCGCTGGTGAGCCACACTGTTCCAGACTTTGGCTTTGCGCATGTCCATTTTATCTCCGTCTCCCAATTCTTGGAAACTCACCTCAGCCCTTTTCTGCACCTCTTATTCAGTTTCCATTGCTGAGTCCCGCTACATCTTTCTAGATGCACATCTCGCGGGGCCAATTCGAGCGCAATTTCAATCATGCTTTCTTCAGCACTCACAAGGGCATTGAGTCGCTCAGGCATGTTTGCGGAGCTGCTCTCTCTGTCCCGCTTCTTGGACTCCTTTTACCTCCTTGTCGAGAAAAGTAGCCTGCTTTATGCGGTTGAACAAGCTGTCGAGATCTTCATGGCAAAGAAACATGATTTCCACGTGCTTCCGCCTCTGACTCCCCTGTATCAGAAGTTTCATCTTCATGAGTTACATCTGGCTTTTTGAGAGATATCGTCCTTACCAGCGAAAAAGAACTCTGCACATCTCTGCACACCGGCGTGCGACTCCGAGACCTGGGCCCGTTCGGCTCATCGCTCACTGTGCCCGCGTGGCTCTCCAGACTTTGAAAATTCTTTACCGTCGAAGGATCAGGCCCTGCTGCGAACTTTCTCGGGGCATGCTCTTTGAACTCTTCTCGGCTTGACCGCTCCTTGTGACGATCTTCTTGTCGATCTTGATATCCTGCATCCGACGAGCGTGTTCCAGTAGCTTCACGAACTTGATGTTGCCACGCTGATGATCCAGAAGCACACCAGGTAACTGGAATGCTCCGACTCCGAGAGAATCGTCGCGCAAGTCCTTCCGACGCACTTCCCGTCCGTCATGTTTCTCCCAGTTCGTCCCCGCTGTGGGTCAGTGCCGGAGGCTCGCCATGAGGAGCTACGGGCAGAGCTCACAGAGCTCCTTCAGTTTCCGAACTGGGCGCAGGACAGGCTCTACGTCGACAGGAAACTTCGGAGGCTTCTTCCCACAGCGTGGGCTTCATGATCGGCTGGCAATTGCGCCATGTCCATGCTGACATCTCTATAGTTCATGTTGTGACGCATGTTCTGAACTCGGAAGGGGTCATGTTTTCGTGGAGAAAGGAATCTCCTCGACGGGCTGCGTCACGTGTCGCAACTGTTCAGGAGCGCAACGATACACACAGGTCCGCACCCTCTTTCGAAGGAGTCGTCAAGATTTGTTGACTGTACAGCATCCGAGTTCTGGTTGTAACTACACAGAAGGCTCGAAAGTACTTGTTGAGAAGACAAATTGCCGAAGACACATGCTCTTGCATCATGGCCCTCGCGACATGCACTATCACTGCGTCACAAGCATTGTGGTGTTGTAGGTACGTAGTTCTGGCATCCCAAAACTGTATCCTGGGCTTCGTTGAGCACAGCCTGACAGGCACCCTGTGCCCAGCTGCATTTCATTTTACTTAATCATTTGCAATCAGGAGTGTACACACACACACACAACTCGTCCAGGATCATGCCACTCACCCTGCGGCGTGCCCCTTCCCTGTCGCCAAAAACACACCAGATTTCTGCATTCATACTTTTCATACTTTTAAGCAATTCGGGCTCTCCTCAAAGGGGCTCGTTGAACACGACGCAAGGCATCAGCTTTGAGGAACGACTCTCTTGCCTTCATGCCACTTGCAGCTCTTCAAAAAAGAGGCTGGGGGGCATGTCTTGAAAACCATCACCTCTCCTCTCCTTTCCCTTTTTTTCGCGCACCTTTTAAAAGCATTGCTTTCTCGCGTGAATCCTGCATCAAGCCTCAGCCGCGTCCCCCCTGAGCTTGGGGCCAAGGCGAGGGCAGTTCTCAGACGCGCCTTCTTTGTTTCAAAAAAGAAGACGGACCATGCCCCGACTCAAACTGCCACTCAAGCAAGAAGCCTCTGAAGCAACTCTCCATCAAACTCTCATCCAATCCTGCGTGAAGGCTTCTCTAAACTATTTGAACCCTGCTTCTAAGCGCCAACGTTGATAATGTGTGCCACATGAAAATCCGTGGCCTCATCCAGGAAGCTAACCCCAACACAATGCTGGGACACCTCTCTATGGGGGGCTATGCCACCAGAACGTGTCACGGAAACTGTGTTGCCACCTCTCGGTGCCCCTGACTGGGCACGGCTTGGGATGCTTTGGACTTCGCGTCGTACACTGGACACAAGAGAAACGACGGGCTTCTGCCAGCACTTCTGGAGTCGCTTGTGCATCTTGGTTGGGAATATCGCGAGGTCTTGCAGACTTCTTCAGGGTTTTGGGGCTCTTCCGGGTTTCAGGAGGAGGTTGTTCAGGCGGTTTGGGCTCTTCTTGTCGGATCTCTCGCTACACATAATCTTCATGCCTCAGCAACTCCCATCGAGCTTCCGGACATCCGGACACACGACACACGCCACGCACAACTCCCGCACGGTGATGCTGGTGGCTACAGGTCTTGTGGAGGCCTTTGTCATATCATGACAAGTAGACAAACAACCCCATTACTTCTGGATCAGACGACCCGTTTTGGGATTACACAAGCCCCAGCTACAGCCGTCCGCACGGAAACGCCCTTCGCTTTCCATGAGTTCTCACTCCCAGTTTGGGTTCCGACGCAACTACTTTGGCCACGGCACACTTTTACACGTCACAGCAGCGTCTCGAGCTTCTGCAGAACCTCCCCTGACGACAAGCCCAAGGAACAAAATTGCGCAGACATCATCGTTCGCCCCATGCCTATCCAGTATGTACTCGTGTATGCAAGCATTCGAGAGACGCAAGACAAAGGCGTAATTACTTTCGTTGCAAGGCAACGAGGCCCTAGCCTGAAAAGCAAACCCTGAATCCAACAGCCGCGCCCGAAGCTCACAGGCAGAATGCTGCATGAGCCCCAAGCCCCGGCAGTCTTGTGTTGTCCGCATGGCACTACGATAAGCTGCAGTGTCAGTTTCAGGAACGTGAATCATGAACACTGCAGCACTGCACAGCAGTATGCAACAGTATGCGACATTGCGAGTTGCGCTCTGTGTTGCGCTGTGCTCTTGGCAGAGAGGCCTTCTCCGATGATGCGCGAGGTGGGGTGTGGCAGCTTTGAGTTGAAGTGACATTGTTTTAGGTTGAGCTCTTTTAATTTTTGTTCTTTACCACCCTCATGGTCCGCAGCAGATGCTCTCACAAATTCACAGGGCGCAGGCGATCTCAAGGCGAGGCACACCTGCCACTCGCCGAGAAGTTCTCATTTCTTGAGAATTTGCATTCCAGTATTTCTCTCGTGTTGTGCGAGATGCTCTTCTTGCTTGTGGCTCGGCTCTCTCTCTCTCTCGCTCTCCGGCTCTCTCTTTCTCCCTCTTTCTCCCTCTTTCTCCCTCTTTCTCCTTCTTTCTCCCTCTTTCTCTCTCTTTCTCTCTCTTTCTCTCTCTTTTGATCTCTTCCTCTCGAGCTGTTTTCTTGTTCATTCGTTTTTCTCTTTCTCTCTGAGGTACCGACGGCCTCTGCTGCCTGATCTTCCTTGCGAGCATCCTGGGGCTCGGCGCACTCTACGGCCGGCCCCTCGTGCCAGCTGGGCCAAGAAAGAGAGATGGAGAGAAGGATGGACAGAGAGAGAGAGAGAGAGAGAGAGAAAGAGACAGAGAGAGAGAGCGGGAGAGAGGGAGAAGGGGAGAGGGAGAGAGAGACCCGCCAGTCTCTACCGGACATAGGGGCGTGCAGAGGGGGTCTATAAGGCGTATACGGCGTATACGGAGTATATAAACGGGTCCTCATTTAAGGGCCCACAGTAAAGGACCGTGTAACTACCCCAAGCCCTAAACCCTAAACCCCAAACCCTCAACCCCTCAACCATAGGAATCCTGCCTAATGCTCCGCAAAGCAGTCTCACCTTGCTCCCGACTTCGTCAAACTACGAGTCCTGCTAACAGGAGCGCTAAGCAGGGGCACAGCGGAGGGGCCAGGCGTGATTTCCACTTTCTGTGTGGTTGCTGTTTTCTTGGTTTCCTGTTGCCTCTTGCCCTCCGGCCCTGACCTGTGAATACCCGCCGACTCGTGTTCACCTTCAGCTAACAACATCAGGTTCTGAAAGACGGCTGTTCCCTTGGCCACAGTGCAGCAGCCATCCTGCGAAACCATGGGCTTGGCAACCAGCGGACTCAACGGACACGAGCGCACCCCCTTCGGGGACTATGTGGCAGAGAGAGAGAGAGAGAGGGAGAGAGAGAGAGATAGAGAGAGAGAGAGAAAGAAAGAAATGACAGAGAGGGAAAACGAAGAGAGAAGGAGAAGAATTCTCTCCCTCTCACTCTCCCGGTCCGAAGTTCACGCATTTTGGCAGCCCTGAAGGCTATGGAGTGACGCATGGAGATCTCGGAAAGCCGCGCAGCCAGAGAGAGAGAGAGAGAGAGACAGTGCTGACACGTCTTAAAAGTAGAAATTGCGCCCTCAGAACATGTCAAAAAGAATTCAATCATGGTTTTGCCTGTCTTTTTGTGCTGTCTTTTGCTGCTTTTTCTGTTTGTGAGGCTCTACCACGGCATCGACTACCAGGGCCGCATTTGCGGCCTCGAGGGGCCCACAGGCGTCCCCGGAAAGTCCGGCACCCAAAACAAAAGCGAGAAACCGGTCTGTGACCGGTCTGTGAAGTGGTGACATTGTGAAGCCCTGTGGAGGCGCCCTAAGCTGCCCATAATCGGACCCTTAGTATATAGACCCCATAAATCACAGGGGGGAGGGTCTTTTGCTCCATAAATCACGGCATAGACCCGCCTTTAACTATCATACTATTTGGAATGTCGTGACGAGACAGCTCTTAAGGAGCGATTAGACGGTGTCTTCGCTGATCGCCAGGAAAAAAGCTCCAATCTATCCCCAATGCATTTTTCTTTACCCTCTTCTTTTCTTCCCTCTATTGTGCTCTCCGTCGAGGCCCTACCTCTTCTGGTGCATGAACTCCGCTTGGGCGCCTGGAGCAGAGGGGAGTGTCCGGGAGTGTGAGAGGGACTCTGCCACATGCACATTTGCATAGCATATCTCCGCGAATTTTTTTGCAACATCATGACAAGAGCGCCGCCGAGCCCGGGCTGCGGCAGTGGCAGCACAGCAGTTTTTTTCTTCTGGAGCCGGTGAGCTTTGGGCCTGTTCCTCCCCTGGCAATCTCATCCAATCTCATCCAATCTCTGATTTGCATTTCGCCGAGCCTAACTCGGCCTTTCCTCCAAAGATATTTTCAAGTCGAGTCCAGGGTGTGGCTTGCGTAGCTTTGCGCCGCCCTCAGAGGTGGGGTTCGCGTTGTTTGGCGCCTCCCTTCGGAAGTGGGAGCAATGTTGAAGCTTGCAGGAGCGCTCGCCATGGTCTGTGAGTTACCGTGAGTTCATGCAGTGTCTCGATTTTTCTAACGATGCTGAGTGTCAATTGTTTGACACTGCAGCAGCCGAATCTCGTGGAGAAGAGGGGAGAGACGGGGCAAGAGGGCAGGAATAAGAATCAAAGGCGGGGGCACAGAGGAAGGCAGAGGAGCAAAAGTGACAGGAAGACGCAAAGGGAGAGCAGCGGACAAAAAGATGAGTAAAGGGGGTGGAGGAGAGGGGGGGCTCAAGTGCAGGTATGGAGGATTGCGCAGGTGTGTCGGTGTGTGTACGACTCTACGACTAGTAGTTCACCGCTTGTGTGTGCATGTGTCTTGGAGACTTCTTCTTATGCAGAGTTTCGTCAACCCGGAGATTCGGAGCTCGGAGCGCTCATCGGCCCACAGGCCTTGAAGTCGGGGCCAGCGAAATTGCAGACGAAATGGAGAGCAGCCGCCGATTGCCACCGTGTAAACGTAACTGCCGCAAACGAGGAGCGCTGCACCTAAGCAATGTTTCACTGCTATCCTTCTCCACGATGCAGTTAATGTAAAGACACCTGGGTTGCAACACGTTCAAGACATTTGCAGATAGTTGCCATCCGCGTCAGTCGTGAGTTCGATGTTGATTGCTTGGCTTCGGTGTCGTCCAGCCGCCAGCATAGATATCACATTGTATAGGGTTGGCCACGGCCAAGCGGGACAGACGAAGTGGGACAGACTGAGTTTGGAGTTGCTTGTTGCTTTCCAATGACAAGGGTCGTTTACTTTTCCATGAGGCCATGACCGCGGCGGACGTCTCCTTGAACCTGGCACCTCGGCTACCTCGGCTACCTCGGCTACCTCGGCTTTCGGGGTCGTTTTTCTCCCGGTCTCCCTCTCCCGTTTCTCGAGACTTGCTCTCGATCAGCTTCTCTCCATTTCGGCATTTCGGCGTGTTCAGCGTTTCAAGTTGCTTGCTGCGACGGAGAGAGGAGTGCTTTGTGTTTTGCTCCCCGCCACGCAGAAAGACCCCGTCTGCGTGTCCAGCTGCCCCGGCGTCCCGAACGCGCCTCGGCGCCGAGCTAAAAGGAGACTTCTCCAGAGAAAGAGCACACTTCTCTCTCATAAGAGAGAAGAAGGAGAGAGAGAAGAAGAAGAGAGAGAGAGAGAGGTAGAGAAGCCTCTATAGATATCTTCTCCTCTCTTAGAAAGAGAGGGAGGGCATGAGCGAGGGAGAGCGGGTTCGCGCGGGCGCGCGCGAGGCGGTGGGCGGCAGCCTCTACGCGCCGGTCCCGGAGTGCAAGCCCGGGGAGCCCAGCAGAGAAAACAGAGGAAAGGTGCGGTGAGAGAGAGAGGAGAGAGAGTCTTCCGCGCCCAAAAAACGGGAGAACAACAGCAGCAGAGGGAGGGAGGTCTGCTGCTGAATTGAGAGAGAGGGGATGCCTTCGGCTCCTCCCCCCTTCTTCTCCCCATCTTTTCGAGAGAGAAGGGAGAGGGGAGGGGAAAAAAAAAGAACCCAGGAGAGAAGGGAGAGAGGAAGGGCATGATGGGGGCCATCTGACGGGAGAGAGGAGAGCAATCTCTGAGGCTGGTGTCCGCGTCGCAGCAGATCAACTCTTATAAGACGATGGTGGTCATGAACCGCTACTGCTTTCCGGACAGCTTCTCCTGTGGCGCAGTTGCGCAGTTGCGCAGGGGGGGGGCAGGGGGGGGAAGGGGGGGGCGCAGGGGGCGCAGGGGGCGCAGGGGGCGCGCATCTCGCATCTCGCACAAGCTGTGAGAAGACTTCGGAGTTGCGTTGAGGCCGTTGAGGCAGGCCGTTGAGGCCTTGGGAGGCCTTTGAATTTCCTCGCAGGACAGCTCTGGGCTGCTCAAGAGCGCTGCAAACTCCCTGGAATCAGGCCGCGGAAAAAGAATCTGCCGATGTGTCGGCCGTTGCGTGGCTCTTGAATGCTGGCTCTCTTGTTCTTGTTGCCTTAGTTTTACGTCAACAGCCTGCTAACGATCTGTTTCCGCTTGAGCGACGGGTCTTGGCATGTCTTTGGGGATGTGGGGTCCCGCCCGTGGCATCGCGATTCGTGCACAGATTCGTGCACGGCACGGTGCAGGCGACAAGGAAAATCCGGTCTCATTTCGGATACCAAAAGGATGGTTTGGGACTCATGTAGGAAGATGCTGCATGTTAGCGACAGATAGAAGCTGAATGTGTTGCTTTCGAATTTCAGTATTGCCGAGTTGGCTTCGTAGACTCTTCGTGAATTCATATCATCCCCGCATGACGCATCGTTCTCGTCTCACTCTCGTCTCACTCTCGCTCCTCTCTCTCCCTCCCTCTCTCTGTCTCCGCTCTCGTGTTCTCTTTTGCTCTCTTCTGTTCTCTGTTGGTCTCCGTTGTTCTTTCGGAAGAGGCTTGCTGGGCCAGCGTACAGAGCGTCTGCTGGAGCAACTCTCGTCCAGTCCCCAAGGGGAAAGCATGGCAAGAAGACAGTATTGGCGTGTTCGGCCATAGTTTTGAGAATTCCGTCGGAACCCAGAAGGTCTGAGAACGAGTTCCGCACGAGAGAGAGAGAGAGAGAGAGAGGCGCGAGGAAGAGGAAGAGGAAGAGGACAGCCATGATGGTGAGAATGAAGCCTGAAAAACCGCTATCATCACCAGGTAATCTTCATGTCACCTCTCTCACCTAGATCACGGGCCTTTAATAATATTCATACTGACCCGTACAGTTCTTTCCATGGAATCCTCAACCGCCAGTGATAACCTTGTTGAAGTGAACTCACCTCTCTCACGCAGTTCTCTTATCTTGTGTCTCAACCTTACAGACGCTTCCTTGTTCACCCATCACACCTTGAGACCCTGTTAACGCCGCAGATATAGGATTACAAAGCCTGACTGATCACCGTGAAGAGAACAACCGTATTATAATTACAAACGAATGTAGTGAGCGGGTGAATTTAATCATGTTGTGAACGAAACCACTAAGCACACTAAAATAGACCGCACTTCTAGTTTCTTTTCATGTCTTACTTTTAATGTTTACTGGTGATGGTTACGTTTATTTCGTTCACTTTGTTCATTCATAAGCTAATTCACTTGCCTTTAGGAGATATAAGATATAGAGTGAAGCGAACACGTGTCTTTTCATGCGTCTTTCTTCGCTCGCCAGACTTATTCTATGAGTGAGCCTTTCATGAACAACAAATACAACTCAATGGAAGAACAATAGAAGAAAGAAAGCATTGATTGCGTACATTCACTCACTACGTTCTTTCATTCATACCGTTATCATATTATAAGCGTGGGAAAAGAAGTGAGAAAAATGAAAGGAGAAATAGCGTCCTTCATGATGATTCACGAGTTTGCTTCTTTTCCCCGGTTGTCCGTTCGCTCACTTCGTTCTTTCGTTCATTAAATTCATGCTTCGTTCGTAGCCTTTTTAAATTAATTCACTGAATTCACTACGATCTCTATGATTAGGTGAACGAAGTGAACGAAATGAATGTAGCGCATGAACCGCATGAAGAATGTGAACGAAACAAAGAAGAGAGTACGAAGTGATTAAATGAACGCATTAATAGTAAGAAGCGTGATTTTACTATTAGTGCGTGAATGCAAGAACGAAACAGTGAAGAGAGCAATAGTAATAATATTGCAAGGGAGTTCACGGACGCGCGAACACTATTAATGTTGTGCGCGAGACAAATGAAACCATTAAACAAACTATGAAGAGAACATAATATTCATATTGGTACTGCAATGAGTATATAGTGAATGAAAGCACACAATATTAATATGATGTGAACGGAATGAGCACAAGAAAAGGATAAGAAAAGGAAGCAAAATGCCAAGAATTTGTACTTTAATCCGCAAACTAATAGCAGAGAAGATAAATAGAATGACCATAAAGTGAAGAAAGTAATATATTGTGATGAGATTCTACATGAATAAGAGCAAGCATTTCCTACAGATATAGCAGCATTCGATAAAGGAAGTGTATTAGCAAAAGTTAATTCACACGGGTCAGGAAGATAGAAAGCTTCTCCAGGCCACATCCCTAAAAGTTGGACAAGATAGTGAATGAGCAGATGTCCAAAACAGGACACAACTAATAGAGCGTCAGAATCTAGAAAACCACCCCAAGAAGAATAAACAAAACTATTAATAAGACTTCATATTTTTCGTGAATTCTCAGAATAAATCTCTAGACCAAATATGAAAACCATAAATTAATCCAAATACAAGATGATAACATATAAGAAAATAAGGAAGAGAGGAAGAGAGAGGAAGAGAGAGGAAGAGAGAGGAAGAGAGAGGAAGAGAGAGGAAGAGAGAGGAAGAGAGAGGAAGAGAGAGGAAGAGAGAGGAAGAGAGAGGAAGAGAGAGGAAGAGAGAGGAAGAGAGAGGAAGAGAGAGGAAGAGAGAGGAGGAGAGAGGAGGAGAGAGGAAAGGAGAGGAGGAGAGGCGGAGAGGGCCGGCGAGGGCCGGCGAGGGCCGGCGCGAGGGCGCGCGAGGGCCGGCGAGGGCCGGCGCGAGGGCCGGTGCGAGGGCCGAGAGGGCCGGGAGAGGGCCGGGAGAGGGCCGGAGAGGGCCGAAGAGGGGAGAGAGAGGGCCGGAGAGAGAGGGGCGGAGAGAGAGGGCCGGAGAGAGAGGGCCTGAGAGAGAGGGCCTGAGAGAGAGGGCCGGAGAGAGAGGGCCGGAGAGAGAGGGCCTGAGGGAGAGGGCCTGAGAGAGAGGGCCGGAGAGAGAGGGCCGGAGAGAGAGGGGGCGGGAGAGAGAGGGGGCCGGAGAGAGAGAGGGCCGGAGAGAGAGAGGGCCGGCGAGAGAGGGGGCGGAGAGAGAGGGGGCGGAGAGAGAGGAAAGAGGGAGGGCACAGGAGAGGGCACAGGAGAGGGCACAGGAGAGGGCACAGGAGAGGGCACAGGAGAGGGCCCAGGAGAGGGCGCAGAAGAAAGCACAGGAGAGGGCACAGGAGAGGGCACAGGAGAGGGCACAGGAGAGTGCACAGGAGAGGGCACAGGAGAGGGAGGGCACAGGAGAGGGAGGGCACAAGGGCGCAGGAGAGGGCACAGGAGAGGGCAACAGAGGGCAGAGAGGGCAGAGAGGCAGAGAGGCAGAGAGGCAGAGAGGCAGAGAGGCAGAGTGGCAGAGTGGCAGAGAGCGAGAGAGCCGAGAGAGCCGAGAGAGCCGAGAGAGCCGAGAGAGCCGAGAGAGCCGAGAGAGCGAGAAGAGATAGGATAGCGCAAGAGCAGCATAAGAAACATAAGCTAATCTCGGAAATCGTAGAGTTGATGTTGAGTTAAGCAATGAGGCGAATTGCGTGAGAGAGAAGCTGCGGAAGACTCCTGAAAGGTCAGTTCCGGCAGCATGGCCGGTGCTGCTCATCGCTTTCTTCGTGGCGGTCCTTTTGGGGCTCCTTGGGACACGGGTGAATATGGGGGAACATGGGTGAATAGGTGAGAGGCGTTCAGCATTGTGCGTAAGGTACGTGTACCTGGTTGCGCTGCGGCACTGCACCGTGCTCCTGATCTGGTGCGGCGGAAGAGGGATCTGTTGCGCAATGCATCATTGCACGTAGGACGCGCACGGGGAAAGAGCACACAATTCTCTCATTCGCAAGGCTGGTGATGGCCCTTTCGATTGCTGGCTCGGCCCTGCTCGGTTTTTACCTGTGGGCCGGCGACCCAGCCACAGCAGAAGCAGAGCAAGAAAGGGCGAGAGAAGGGCGAGAAGGGGCGAGAAGGCGAGAGAGAGACACACACACACACACACCAACACACACACACCAACACACACACACCAACACACACACACACACACACACACCAACACACAACACACAACACACAACACACAACACACAACACACAACACACAACACACAATACACAACACACAACACACATCACACAACACACAACACACAACACACAACACACAACACACAACACACAACACACAACACACAACACACAACACACAACACACAACACACAACACACAACACACAACACACAACACACAACACACAACACACAACACACAACACACAACACACACAACACACAACACACAACACACAACACACAACACACAACACACACACAACACACAACACACAACACACAAACACACAACACACAACACACAACACACAACACACAACACACAACACACAACACACAACACACAACACACAACACACAACACACAACACACAACACACACCACACACCACACAACACACACCACACAACACACAACACACACCACACACCACACACCACACAGCACACAGCACACAGCACACACCACACAGCACACAGACACACAGACACAGACACACAGACACAGACACACAGACACAGACACACAGACACAGAAACACAGACACAGACACAGACACAGAGACACAGACACAGACACAGACACAGACACAGACACAGACACAGACACAGACACAGACACAGACACAGACACAGACACAGACACAGAGACAGAGACAGAGACAGAGACAGAGACAGAGACAGAGACAGAGACAGAGACAGAGACAGAGAGGAGGAACAAAAATGCTTTCAAAAGAGGGGCAAATGCTAGGCCGCCTCCCGACCTGACCCGACTGACCCTCTGACGTCAAAGCTTTAAATGTTGGAAGAGAGCTGTTGAGCTTTTGAGCTTTTTCCCTCTGGGAGCCGAAGGACATTCTTGCGCCCTCCAAAGAGAACCCCACCCCACCCCCATCCGCCCGGGCCCCCACTTCCCCGCCGCTTCCCCCCACCACTTCCCGCAGCGCGAGAGCACCCGTTTTTTCCCGCGCCCTTTTTTGAGCCGCACCCGTTTCTTTGCCTCTTTGCCCTCTTTGCCCTCTTTGCCCTCTTTGCCCTCTTTGCCCTTTTTGCCCTTTTTTCAGCCAGGCCAACGCTGGCAACCTCTCGAGGCCGGGAATTCTCTGAGTCTGGGCTTCTTTGTTGTAAAACCCCTTTAAGGGCTCTCCGCTCTCTCTCCGCTCTCTCTCCGCTCTCTCTCTCACCCCAAATCTCCCTCTTCCGTCTCCCGTCTGCCGTCTGCCGTCTGCTCCTTCCATCTCCTCCTTCCATCTCCGCTCTTCGTCTGCTCTTCGTGAAGAGGCGCTGCCCGATGCACTGAAATGTGCTAATAAGAGAGTGTACAAGTGCGGAGCATGGCGGAGCCAAGAGAGCAACATACAATCAGTTGACTCAGTTGACTCATTGAGTTTTCTGCTCTCCAGGCATCTCCCCAACGGAGTTGCCGCTCCCGAAGGTTCGGCGCTGTCATGCTCTCTCGCAGCGCCCCTTCTGAGTCCTCAACACAGCGCACAAGTACAGAGATCTCATGATACACCTTGCATACGCAGGATACGGTGACAACGAGGAAGCCGTGACGAAGGCACAGACTCCGCGGCTGCTGCTGTTAAGCTTCGGGGGAATGCGGCTGAATGCGGCTGAATGCGGTCTCCCGGCCCTTCAAAGGTCATGGCGGTGCTTTGTTGGGTTCTTTGTGGAATATGCAGCTGCATCAGCTGCTGCTTCCGTCAAAGCATCGAGGCACTCAGGTGTTGCTGAAAGTTCAGTTTACAAATGTTTACAAAATCCTTCTCATGGTCTGCATCTTTGCTTCTTCTTTGCGGGCAGAGGCGGCCGTGGACTGCATCGAGGAGGCGTGCGATGCAATCCAGGAGATGTGGCTGCCCCAGATGTGCTCAGCCGTTCAAAAGCAATGGCAGCCGCGAACAAAGCACTCAGGTCCTCTTTGCTCCTGGCACCCATTTTGAAGGACATGTCACGGGTCCTCTCAGAGCAAGAGCAGGGGACGCAAATACCGCGGAATAGTCGTGGGCGGATCGTGCTGAGAGCAGGCGCTCTCCCGTGCATTCGTCTTCGGCCTCCTCCTCTATGGCTTCTTTGCGCTGCTGCCTGGGACTCGGGCCGTCCGGTGGCTCGAGCGGCACAGGCGCCAAGCATTAGCTAAGAGCCAATGCCGTGGTTGCCCCACAAGGTCCACAGCGCAAGTTTCAAAGCCACAGGGCAGTGGGCTGGTGTACAGCCCGCGCCCCAACAGAACTCAGTTCACAACTATTCTTCTGCCGTCAACACTCAGTCCCCCACACAGTCTGGAAACTCGTCCTTGAGGTGTAAACAATAACAAAGGGCATCCAAACGCATTGTTGCGGCCCGAAAACAATACCTCGAGATATTCAGTATGGCGTCTTGATTATTAAGATTCCAGATGAACAGCATTTTGAGCCGGACCACGATTGATGCCAGCACTGAGCTGGATTGCCTTACAGCGGTGAATTACACTGACCGCGCAGAGCAGGAATCGATGCCCTAAGGCCCCACCAATATCAGTGTACCTCCTGGCAAGAATGTCGGAGCAAAGAACCTTCGAGGAGTCGAGGCACTGCCATTCACCAAGCTGTTCGTGAGACATTGGTCAGAGTTGTGGATCCATCGTCTACGACCCCATCGTGAAAGTGCGTGTGAGACCAGTGATTACACAAACACCACCGTGGTTCCTGTGGTGAGGGACAACAACCACTATGAAGAATCGTACGTGCGTGCGTGCGTGCGTGCGTGCGTGCGTGCGTGCGTGCGTGCGTGCGTGCGTGCGTGCGTGCGTGCGTGCGTGCGTGCGTGCGTGCGTGCGTCCGTGCGTGCGTGCGTGCGTGCGTGCGTGCGTGCGTGCGTGCGTGCGTGGGTGCGTGTGTGTGTGTGTGTGTGTGTGTGTGTGTGTGTGTGTGTGTGTGTGTGTGTGTGTGTGTGTGTGTGTGTGTGTGTGTGTGTGTGGTGTGTGTGTGTGTGTGTGTGTGTGTGTGTGTGTGTGTGTGTGTGTGTGTGTGTGTGTGTGTGTGTGTGTGTGGTTGTGTGTGTGTGTGTGTGTGTGTCAGAGCATGGTTTCCATGCTTGTGTGAACAGTTCAGGCTTCAGGCTAGTTGGTGCAGCCGGGCGAGACCTGTTTTCGCTCGGAACCTGACGTGACAGGGAGGTGGGTTCAGCTGTGGAGCACAGACGCACCACGAACGAACCATGGTCCAGAGTTACCTGACAGCATCCTTCTGGCACTTCCCAGCCGAAGGCTAGAACTTTCCGAGGCCGTTTGAAAGGCTTAGGCGAATGAGCCGAAGCCCATGAAAGCCATGAAAGCCATGAAAGCCATGAAGGCGATGAAGGCGATGGAGGCGATAAACGGCGATGCTGCATACACCATAGTTTGCTATGTGCTGCTCGGAAACTCAGTCAACAATGACTTCGTTGTGTGCTCCTGAGAAAACATACCTGTCCGGGGTTGCGTCGTGCGTGCAGTGGCCCTGGAAACCTTTGATCGAGACCCTCAACCGGACAGAATCCTTTCCCTGTCCCATCGTGCAAGCATTGTGGCTGGCCAGTTTCATTACACAGTCTGACGCTGGAAGAGTCACGGGTGTGAACCACGTCTGACTCTAGAGGCACAAGCTGAACCTTTCAACACCTGCTCAAGAACTAGCGTGCGTGTGAAGGCCCCTTCTTGATGCCGTTTGGACGGGCGCCTCGTGCAAAAGCGTGTGTGGGTTCTCAACAACCGGCCACTTTCGCAGCGGTCAGGCCCTTCTGCTTCCACGAAATCGACAAAACCTGCCACATCACCGCTCCGCCAGGCGTTCTCCTCTCGGGCTCCTTGTCGGGTAAGGTGCTCGACCGTAGTGAGTCCAATCGTGAGTCGCTATCCGCAGCCTTTTGGCAATGTTTCCAAGAACCTCTCCAGATTCTGCTGGGGAATTTTGGGGATGGACTACAGCAGCTGGTATTTTCGCTTTTGCTAGGGGTGGTTTGCTGAGGACCTCCGAGGCGACACGGGATCTTGTCCTTCCTTGCGACACTTTGGGAACTAAAAGCCTCGTCCTCGTAAAGATCGGGCTTCCCAAAATGCGACCATGCGCGACCACTTACAGGGATCAGAAAGCAGTGGCCAGGTTCAAACCGAGGAGACGATTGGACACCACGCTGAGCCGCCTCCACGTTCCTAAGTCGAGTGGTCCCTCGTGACCGCTCGATTCAGGAGCATTCAGGCCAGGTGGGGCAGTTGACCGAGGACTGCGAACTTGTCAGACGAAAGACGCCCGTGGGTGAGTCCACGAATCATGGAAGTTTACCTTCAAGAAGTGAGCTTCCCATCGTTAGCAAAGCTATGACCGAAGCCGCAGGCTGCTTTGAGACCATGCTAAGAAGGTCTCTTTCTTGGAAGTCGAGGTCAGGCCAAGACTTAGAGTATCCAGGTGCATGATGGTGCATGACTGTCGCGATCCCTTTGAAGCCGTTTGGACGGCCGTTTGGATGGCAAAAGAAGGATGCGCGCGCCTGCTGCAGCATCGCGCGGTGTGTCGGGTTTAGTACAATGTGCATCTTGACTTCGCTTACCCAAGGGCCCCTTGAATCCAGCCAAACGGCGAAGCGGGAAAATTGCCAGTCTTAAGCATTCCTTGTGCGGCCTTGTGTTCGAAGATAGCAAGTCTTAGGTTCATTGCGAATCTGCTGTGAGTTGCGCCTTGTGTTTTTGAGCTGTCCATGCCGAGATGCGGTGAGCAATCAAATGGAAGGAGTCCGTGGCCCAGAACAATCACTTCCCTCCAAAGTCCCCCATCCATCACCGTCCGGGACTCCATCCTTCGTTTCAGGTTGCACGCCACTTCCAGTTCACTACGCAGCAGAAGTTTGCGCTCGTCGCCTACGCGCTATGGGCTTGGAGATTCGCCAAAGCATACAATGTATTTTCTCCAGTCGTTGTTTCGTAGGTTCGTAGCGATCTGGGTGGAGTGCTGGCTGAATGCCTTGTTCGGCTCCCGGGACCACATCCATCAAGGACATGAGTATGTGGCCATGTATCCAAATCTTGGCTTGCTGGTCGGGCGAAAGATTGCGCTTATTCCGGCTAGCACTTGAAGATTCAGGGTTGCTTGGGGGATACACGTTACCGAGGTTCCAGTTCATCATCGCCTATGCCATGGCCTGGCGTCGGCGGTGTGTCGAATATTTTCAAACATGTGAGCTTCTGTTGGAGTTAAAGACTTGCCAATCCGTGGTCAACTGAGAGAATCGCAACGCGTAGGGCTACTGTATTGACGTGTGCAGAGGCGGAGTACCACTTGTCGCC